TGAGTTTAATTTGTTCAAAAACCTGTATTAATAAAATACTGTAAGAGGAATGTCATCACATGCCAAAACCACAAATAAACTCTTTTTCTTTTTTGTTTATAGGCAAACAGTGGTAGTTCAGAACTGCAAGAAATTATGAGAAGACGACAGGAAAAAATCAGTGCAGCTGCCACAGATTCAGGTGTGGAGTCCTTTGATGAAGGGAGCAGCCACTAAATGTGTTTCTTCTTTTCTTTAATTTCCATTGCCCATAGCATCATACCATCCAGCTTTGCTTTAGGAAGCAGTGAAGGGGAATGTCTTACTATATTGTAACTTAACTAGCCAACACAAAGAAAATTTACAGTAGTCTCCACAGGAGTACCTGCTGCTGCCTTCTCTTCACGAAAAATAAACAGATGAGAAATTCAGTGGAGCTTCCTGGCAGGTGAAAATATTGGTACATGATTCATTTACACCCAAAGATGAGTCTTGGCTTTATGGAATTAACATGACAGACAAATTGTAGCACATCTTTGTGATTCATCTGAGGGAAGCTGAGCCAGCAATAAAAAAAGCATTTGACCCCTTCAGTAATTATAAGATTCTGAATCCCATCTCTTGCTGTAGTGTGCAATTATGTTTTTTTTGGCTCAGTCTTTCTTGTCATGCATTCGGCTGCAGGACGTTTACTTAAGTTGTCGATGCCAGCAATTGGAGAGGAAATCTTTAGAGAATGAACAGCAGCCCAACATAGACTGAATCTTTCTTGCATCACTCCCAAGATGTTTTATTACTAATGATGCTGTTTATAGCAAAATAATACTCCGTACATTGATTTCATCAATACTTCACCCATGATGAACTATAATATTGCACAAGAAGGAATAACTAGAAAATAGTAACACAACTCAGCTCAAAGAGGTGATGAGATCTGCTGTAGCTGGCCATGCAACAACTCACAGTACATTTTTTTTTTAATATACTTGCATTTTTTTTTTGCCTGTAACTTAACCCATCAAAAGAACAGTGTATAATCTAGACTTCTCTGTGTGTTGATCCCAGATATCAGTTTTTCCTCATGTAAAAAACCTGTTGTTCTTTTATAAATGTAATCTTTTGGGAAAGTGGATTCCTGGAGGCAAAAGGGGGAAAAGAAGAGGTAACATCCTTTCCAGAAAATGTTATTTTTGAAGATGAAATGATTTTTGTCACAAAATGCTCTGTTATGGTCATGTGATTTTATATATAATATATTTATTATATAATATATAATATCACTTAATTTAGACAAATTTAATCATCTAGTTTGATTGAGTTTCATAGTGCCTTTTTCACATGAATCAGCTTAAAGTCTGCAATAAACAGTATTTCTTGTCTGTTAAATCGTTGTATCTTTGTGGCTACAAAGGCAGTAATGAAATAAGAAAGTAATCTTGGTTTTTGCCATTAGTTTACTTTTCCTCTGCATACAAGGGAAGAAAAGAATCCTATTAATTTTTCGCAAAAGAAAAGATTAAATTCTTAATAAATTTATTAAGTGCCATTTATTGTAAATGCCCTCACAGATATTACTTCTGTGTGTTGGTTATGTATCTATGTACTTTTTTACATTTAATATATATTCTTTATGCCTGTCTGCATAAGCATGGTCTTATTCAGAAACGGGTCAGTAAGTGATAAATCCTAAACTGAAGACTTCAACTGCTATAGCAGTCACTAAAAAAATGGATTCTTGTCTTATCCAGTGAAAAAAACAATGATTCTCAATTGCTTTCTCCCTCTGGGAAACACTTCAGCCAGCACACCAGCGTCATGACTACATCCATTCAACACACATATAGAGCTTTAGGGGAGAAATTGTCTGTCTCACTCACTGCCTGTCATTAAATGCCAAGCCCAGATCTCCAAAGGCTTGGCATATTCTCTTACTCAGAATTCCCTCTTCCCCACACTTTCTAGTCAGCATCCATACCTAGCCTGAAGAGTGGAGATGTGAAGCTGCTCTCACTTTTAAGTACAGGAGTAGGAAACTTTTTAAAAGGTCTTAGAAATTCATATTTAAAAATTAGTCCCTGTCTTTTCTCATGGAAATTAGGTCTGATTCCATTAAAAGCATTGTGGCAGCAACCTGCACCTCTATTTCCCTGCTAATTACCAAAATAGGAAGCCAATATTCATCCTCTCTGCAATCCTTATTCTAGCATTCAGCACATGGTTGGCTTTTGCCCAGAGAGAGGCATCAGCTCTGAGACTTTTCTGACTCTGTGGAGTTTGTCATGCTGAGGTCTCGGTGGAAGGACCCATAGTTCATCTCTGAGAAAAAAAAAAAAAGAGGTGGCTTCACAGCTGGGAGTTTTTTTGAATCTGGATTACTGTGTGGCTGTTGTTTAGAAAGAGTTTGAATGTGGTCAGTGTTCTCAGAGGCATCTTTGGAGATATTTGGGATGGGGGGGGGGGGGGAGGAAACTTCTTCCATACACTGAAGGGATAAGCAGAATAATCTGGGGTTGTATCTGTCTTTTTTCATAGTTCCTAAATTAGCTACTAATGACTTAACAAGCCAGTACAACTTGAGTTGTATTTTACCCTTTAACTTTGCTGAACTAACCTTTATGATTTCTGTGTTACAGTCTGTGAAATCTGGGGCCGAGGCAGGTATTTCCCTTTCTGCTGGAATTTCCTTGGTGGTTTAAAGCACCATAGGGAGCTTCACCCCTATGCTGTGCAGTTTTTGAATTTTCAGTTTGTTGGCAGTTATAAGAAATCAAAAGAAGATCTCATCTGGTGTTCCTCAAATGAAAATATTTACTTCAAAATATTCAGTGGTTTAAATGAAAACAGTAGTAAAATGCAGTGTTCCATTCAAAATGTTTTCTTTAGGATTTGAGCAGTGAGGCTTATTTTTTAATACTAATATTAAAAGGATATGACACATGAAAAATGTCTGACAAGGAAACAAAACAGTTTTTTATATATCAAAGAAAGTGCCTTATTAGATGTTTGATAACATAGGGACTACTTTGCTAATTTGCTACCAACAATCTGCCTTTTTAACTGGGTGGAGGGAAAGAGTTTTAGCAGTGCATGTTCACTCAGCAGTTTTATGTTTTCAGAGCACAAACATTTTAATATCAGCAAGGCACTTCTTCCCACTCCTTTAGGCTGCCTGTTCCCTTGGGATGCCTTGGAGAGAGCAAACCACTGTGAAACCTCACATTTAATTCAGAACGAACTTTTCTAACCAATAGTGATGGATAGAGCAGTTTAATTACCTTCTAGCAATTCAAATGTTAAACACTGCTTCATTCAGAGAAATTGTGATCTGTAAGTGAGATTTTATACATATTTGTATTGCTGCAAAGCACTTTGCTGTATAAATGTTGGTGGGTTTGGAGGGGTCTGAGAAATAAGTGCAGACTTCCACGATTGATGTGTGCAGAAATCAATGGTTATGAGGCAGTAGGTATCCAAAATGGTATGATAGTCTGAAATGCTCAGAGCTCCCAGTGATTTTGAGTGTATTCTTCAGTCTTTGTGAACCTCTGAAAGCATCTCTTGAAGGGCTTTGCTGGACAGTAACCTCAGTATTTTGATAATTCAAGGGAACAAACAAATATAACCGTAAGATGTAAATTAAGTCCTTGTAATTAGGAAACTTGTTAATCACAGAATTTTTATTTTGTTCCTATTGTGGGAAGGCATTTTGAGTTTTCAGCTTTTTAGGTCATATACAGAAGCAAGCTATAGCTTGAATACTAGACCCTTGTCCAAGCAGGTATCTCCATTCATTTTCCTGGGCTGTGTCTCATGTACAAGGGAGTCATGATTATGGGAACCCATATTTCTGGCCAGACTACTGCTTCATAGGAGCCCAGGCTTTTTATTATATTCTCCCTCAACTGTGAAGTCTGTGTAGTGTCTAAAACAGCCCTGTATAAGGATTGAGTCTGATATATCAAGAGTATCTGAGGGAATACTTTTGTGCTCAGCCTGCCACCTTTGCATGCTTCCCAACAGCATTATGTATGGGAAATGCAAACATGAGGGACTCTGTATTGGGTTCTGTGTTTATTTCACAAACATGTTGAATTTCTTCGGTGACTTTGTTAATTTTTTTAGCAATTAAGTGCCTATTTAACTGTCTCTGGCTCTCCTGTATCTTCTTTGAGTTTCTCTGAGTTGCTTAGGTTGCAACTTCGGCCTTTAAGTACTTCCTCAGCATTCAGACCAAAATGAATATCAAAATACTTGTCTGTGCTTCTACTCCTTGATAATTTTTGCAGTTTAAAAGAGGAGATGAAAGAAAATAGGGAGCCTTCCTAGATGCTTCCTAGCCACCAAGGCAGAAAAGCTCAATGCACCCTGATCCCACACACATCAAGAGCATTAACAACTTCAACCACAAGGAGTGGCTGAAAGCAACAGCTTTTGCTGTCTCAATGAAAATATAGTTTTCACACAAGCCCTGTAAAAAGTTGGAAGTGGGAGGGAGGTAGTGTGACACTGTGGTTAATGAATGGAGGGAGGGAAAGGCTGTTTTAGTGCATAGGATGATGATGTTGATTATTTGACAGGGGAAATTTGTCTTCTTTTGGTGTAGGGAAAACAAACCAGTAAAATGAAGTAAAGCACAAGTAAGGCTTCCCCAGCCTGTTCTCAGTCCTGGTGTGAGATTTGAAGGAAACAGTTCTGAAGACCCAAGGATGTCAGGGTGCGCTGCACAGGACATGCTAAGAGAGGCAACACTTCCACACATGGCTCTAAAAACTTCTTAGCACTTCTAAATCCTGTTTCTTAGGTTTACCTGTTTGCTCCTTCCCTGGCAGCACACACAGCGTGAGGCAACAAGGATAAAACCTGCCCTAGTTTCGATGGATGGTCACTCACTATGCAGAGCTGCTTTGACAGACATCTGGGTCAGTAGATGCTGTAAGAGCAGCAGATCAATACATAACATCCATAGTGTCAGCAGAGCTATGGACATGAAACCCATAATTCAAAAAACCTATTTCCAAACCTGAAGCTCCAGCCAGCTTTACAGCTGCGATGACTCGAGAGCTTTATTCTGACAGATGCTGGAAACAATATTAACATGCAGAATGTGTCCAAAACATCCTTTCAGACTTCTTTTGACGAGGTAAAACCCAAAAGTATGATGTGTCAATTCAGGCTTAATGGCTCTGCATGAGTCTTCTGAACCACATCATCTTCCAGACTTGTTTGTTACTTCAGTTATGTCTTGAACGCTGGGAGAGGTGGTTTCCACTGTCATCCCAACATGCCTGCTTATGCAGTTTTGCATATTGTGGGGAGTAGGAAAAGGTATTTTTGTGAAGGAGTTTTCATTGTAATTGATTTTGTGATTAAGTAGCTATTAAAGGCAAAATACACACCTGTTACTGTGCAAATGGAATAATTTTTGACATGCGTTCAAAAACTGCCTAGTAAATTCAGGCTATTCAGGCAGTGCCGTTTGCAACAATGTGATTTTGGCATCTTTGCAGCAATCTTGTACCCTGTCATGTTCAGCCAAGCTTCTGTTACAGCCAGCTCACACTGTGATATTTTGTGGGCTTATGAATGATTTAGAAGTAACCTGCTTACTCTGGTCTGTGATACAGAATAAATACAGACTCAATGGGCAATGGCCAGGAGGAGGCTGTACATGAGAAAAGAACATTTGTAGGTTGGTTGCTTTTTTTTTCCCCTGCCAGTTCTCTAGAGGGGTGTGAACGTATTTTCTGAGTAAATATGTAACGAAACTCTGAAATACATTTTTAAAAAAGCATGGAGGCAAGGTCTAAACGGTCAAGTGCTCACTTATAATTCTCCCTTCTGCTCACATTAAGCCAGACAAATCTTTGCTGTTCCTACTGGAATGGCAAGCCCTCCATCTGAGGCACACCAGTGAAACAAGAGAGAAATGTGTACCACTGAAGCCTTTCTTGTTACCAGCCTGCTCTGCCCTTTTGCATCCATCTCTATGCATCATACTTGGAGAAACAGCACCTCTGGCTTTAGGACTGGGATTAGTGGAAACAGTGGAAATACTATTAGATGCATGGAAACAGAAGAGGGGGAAATGCATATCGTACCCATTTAGTAATGAGAGGGGGAGTCCTGTTTCTTTAATACCCTTTGCAAGGACCTGTTTTATTTGGGGTTTATGTTAAGTCTATGCAGTTTTGCATACCACATGTGGGATATTTTGAAAGAAGTTATCCCTTGTAACCAGTACAACGTTGATGTAGATATTAAAGGAGTATACACCTATTTACCTGTTAGTGGAATAACTTCGGAAGAAAAAAAGAGGAATATCAGCTGAAGGAGGTTACCAGGCTTCTAGAAGTAGCTGAGCTTCTGAACTACAGCCTGGTACCCTGCCAGGTGATAGCAGGCCCGAGAATGAATGACATAAAAAGTACATGCAGGTGTGTTTGCCCTTTTGCTAACAGTGACTTCTTGACAGGTAAGCAATCCAGTGTGTTTACTTTCAGTTTGTTTTGTTTACATTGAGTACCATTGCTGCTGACTTCCAAGGAGGTGACACAAAGCAACAGGTTACAAAAAAATGCCATCAACAGCCATTCTGGCAGCATCCATGTCACAATACACAATGATGTACCGGAATTATACAAAGACCAAAAAAAAAAAATATATATATAGCTAATTATTCTGACTAGAACAGAAACCGACAGCAAAAAAGTAAAGAGCCCCCCACCCTGACCCCAAAGCTCCTGTAGGAATCCATACTGACGCTTTGGCAGCCTTGTAGCAATAAAGCAATAACCAGCCCTTCACATGCCAAAACCTTGTCTTCGTAAAATTGTAAATTCCTGGTTCGGAGAAATAGTTATGTCCATTAAAGCACCTTTTTTTTTTTTTTTTCCTCTTTCCACCCCTCTAACCTGAACCAGCTTCATGTTTTTACACAGGGTTAATAATTATTAAAAACAATAAACAAATGAGGGGTATAGGCACCATAGACTGCTCGGACAGTTAAATGCTATAGTATTATATGCTAACATATCCCAGCTTGAAACTCAGCTGCCCTGCGATTAGACTGATCTAAAACAGGAGCCTCATCAGTGGCATTACTGAAAAGGTTGGCAAAAAGAGCAATCCCTCTGCTTAATTAGTAGCAGCACAGTCAAGAACCGAAACCACCCCCTCTCTCAGTGTCGGCTGCCTGCTCCAGGCTTCGTGGTTTGCATTTCTGCTCGTCAGTCCGTTCCTCAGGTCTTGTGCTCCCCCCAGGCCCCACGTACATTAGTGCTGTAAGGAAACAGTCAAATCCATGTACCCAGCAAACCCCCCACCCCCCCACCCCCTCCCATCCACTTTTTCACAATCTCCAGATTTCTTCATGTATGTTCATGCCTCGCTATTCACTAATGAGGTATTATTAGATACTAACAATGCCTGCTCTCCTAGGGACGTTAGCACTGACCAGTGACACATGAAGAAAGCTCTTCAGTCAACCATTAAAAAAATATTGCACTTACTTTAACCTTAAGCCCAACCTGCACAGCAAAAAAAAAATTATCAAAGAAATGAACCAAGAGTACCAAACAAAACCCCAATACTCTGGAGCAATCTATCTTATGCACGTATAGTGTCTTTTCCTTCATGTTGTTTAGCTGAATTTGGTCCAGTATTTAAAAAAAAGTCCAGAAATTAAACAGTTCAAAAGACACCGCAGGCTTGTTAAGGCTTTGTCTCCCCAGTGCTTCAGAAAGGTAAAAGTTTCTTTCATTGTCCGTGTACTGCAAAGCAGCAATCTCTCCTGGCACAACACCTGGCTGTCCAAACCATCAACAGAAAAAAAATCAGAAGCAAGGGAAGATGGGTGTGCTTCATGGTCTCACCTGGAACGGAACAAACAGAATGCTTTAGAAATAAGAAGCGGAAATAAATACAGTTCTTAGCATTTGGCTTTACTGACCCTCCACACAAGCTGGGAATGCAGCCCACCAGCACAGGCAGCTGGGTTCTGGGACTCAGATCAGACAGTAAACTACCTAAACAAGTGAGGCAAATCTGGGTTCTTTTACAGGCAGGGGAATGACGTTCACAGAGGTTAATAATGGCACATGTGGAACACCACAGACACACACTGGACACAGCTGGTGGTGGTGCCCTCAGCCCAGCCCTCCACCAGCTATTTGAGGAACCAGTTTGAGTTGAAAGTCTGCAGCTTCCTGCTCCACCCGAAAGTGAATATTACAGTCATGGCTGGGTTACTGCTGCCACCTAATGAACCGAAGCTCAGTAGCTGGGAGAGCAGTGATGCACATCCTCACAGCTTGTCCCCAGCAGCAAAGCTCTTGCTACGTCACAGCCTCGTGCTTTGCTCTGCAGCTGGGGACTGGGCTGGGCCAGTTGCACGCCACAGGCCAGGCACAGGGGCTCAGTGGAAAAGCAAGATGGTCACTTCACTTACCCTACTGATAGTACCAATACTGGTAGAACCAATGCTGGTTCCCTGGTTCTAGATTTATGAAAAAAATTTCCCCAGCGTTTCACGTCAGAGCTTTTTGGTTACCTTCTCACCCTCCAGCAGAGCATCCCCCAAACTTTGCCGGCCTGGGTAACCTGGTACTTGGTTAAGTGACTTCAGAATGACTGAAGGTATTAAAGTCCTTCTCTCCTTTAAGCTTTGTAAGGAGTGGTAGGACAAGTGGCAGGGAATGGTGAGATGGCTTACTCAGGAGTTCTGGATTCTCTTTTTCTTTGAACAATGAGTGAGCCCATATATTCTTACACTGCTGTGGAAAGTGCAGGGGATTATTTACTGTGACAGGCTACACAGATTTTCCTTGCACTCTCCACGTGAACACCAGAGGGGAATAAGCCTCGGAAAGCTCCTGGAACAAACACCTGTGATGCTGGCTGCTGCCAGCAGCTGGAACGTGAGGCTCTGGGCGTGGAACAGGGCAGGGCTTGCCTGACTTACCACCCGTGGCTCTGAACTAGGACTTGCTGACGTTCTCATATATGACATCGCTGATGCAGAACTGCTGCTTCTTCTTTTGCCACATCAGTTGCACACACTGGTGGATAAAAATGTACTGCTCCTGGAAAAAAAGACCAAATGAGTGAGCATTTTTGTGCCTCAGAAAGCATGGCAAAAACCCAAACAGTGAAACAGTTTGGTAGCTCACAGTTTGATAGCCTGCACAGCTCCATCTCTCTCACCTCAGCCCATCATGATGTACAGTGAGTTATCAGCTCCCAAAACAATAGCCCACAACTGTTACAGGTGGAGGAAGCATGAAATCCACCTGGCACCATAATCACTTATTAATAACCTGAATGATGACAGAAGAGTTGAATCTGAGCTAAGGAGGGTCTACTTTACATTGCCCAAAAATGAATGAATTACAAGAATTGCTTTATGTGCAACAAATTGCACCCATGCCACATATGCATCTGAAATATTTTAATGAGGTTCGTGATCCTTAGTGGTTTTTTCTCTACCAATAAAAAGATAAAACTTGATTTTGTTCACAGAGCAGTTAATTATTTGGGGAGTTATCAACATCTGTGCAGGTGACACTATAAGTAAGTTGGGTCAATCACATGCACCACTGTATTTGTGGAAAGGTTTCTGTGCAACAAGAGCAGGGTTATCTTTGGTTTTGGTTACAGACTGACTTTTCTTAGGATCATCATTAGACAGATTAAACACTGTAATTCAATTCAGAATAACCTTAGTTGATGACTTTTTGATTTCAAAGAGAGAGAAGGCAAATCCTGATGTATCCTTACACTAACCTTTATGTAAATGAGGCACAGGGAGCAAGCAGATCCCAAGCAAAAACAGCTGTTCCAAACCCCAAGTCTGGATTTCAGCCCCTATCCCCAGTGGCCTGCTGATGCCAGAGATATCAGTGTGAGTTTGAAGCATGTTTCAGACCACAGAAATGTCAGGATTTCCTCAGCCCCACTAATTTGGAGTGACTGTTTCAATTCATGATATTCTTCATTCTCATCCCCCTTTTGGGCCTGTGCCATTTGTTTTTTTTAAAGTGCTCACTGAGGCATTGCCAAGTTTCCAGTATACAAGGCAACATGAACTCAGGTCAGCTGTCGGTGGTTTCAGATTTTGTAAGAAAAGACTTTTCAGTGGCCTCTGTGCCTGAGTGTCAGTGTCACCCAGTGACCCCTAAGGCCAGGCTTGGCCACTGCCTGGAGCAGCAGGAGCTCAGCAACTGCCCTTGACATCAGCCCCAGGCAGGCAATGAGGTTGTACATGGGAAAAAAAATTAAAAAAAGAAAAAAAAAAGGAGGAAATAAAGGAGAAAAAGAAAAAAATTACCAAAAAAAAAGCTCCACAACCAAAAAACACAACAGAAAACTACATCCCTTCTGGAATGATTAACACAATTCCAGTTGAAATGAATCATCAGGACTTTTTTCTCTCTTTTTTACATATGGATCTGCCTTTGGTTTAACATACTGAATTGTGATGAAAAGTGGCAGTTTGATAGGAATGATCCAGGATGGACTGAGAATAATGAACTTTTTTTCATCTCCAGATGCTAGTTATTGTCACTGTAGGTTTTCTTGCTCCTCTCCTCTCCCTCCTAAAACTTTTTTTTCCCCAGTACATTTTTCCAGTACATTTTTCTTAAAGGCAGAAAAATAACTACCCAGTGGGTATTTGGGTAGGAAGAAGGGCAAGGAGGGTGTCTGGCAGACTCAAAGTCCTTCTTTTCTGTTTTGCTCGTAATTTGTATTTCCATTGTGTAATTGAAATCCTGTGCTTGGCTAGATGATACCAACGTGATACTTGAACAAGGTTGCCTGATACTGATATCATTTCATGAGCTAATAATCCCCTCAGCAAGCTCAATTCTTTTCAATGTGGTTTGAAAATCTCATATGTTAATCTCTTCTAGTGCATTGTTTGAATATTAATTTCACAGAAGATGAGAATAACTCATCCCCTCTGGAAGATATCCATGAGATTGCAGATATATCATCAGACCCACCTATGCAGCAGATTAATAACGTGACAGTATTACAACAAAGATGAGAACTTAATTATACCTGTTCACAGCCATTTGGTCAAGTGTTCAGCGACATGAACGCACTAAATGGACATGACAGTACTTTCACAGTGTTGAAGCAAACGGATGTTACCTCTGTTTGCACCATGGACATTCTGTAGGACCGCATGTCGGACACCAGCCCCAATATGTCGACGAACTCGTGGTCACGAATGTGCTGTAAGAGCCGATCCAGGGCTATGAAGGTTCCTGTTCGTCCCACTCCAGCACTGCAACACAACACAGACATGCATGACATGCATCTCATTTCAGGCTTTTCTGGAGGAGGCACACACAGGACAATCAGTGCGGAAAGCAGGAGTCCTGCAGCTGTGATAATCAGACAGAGCAAACCTGAGGTCAGGCAGGCTGGTTAACCTGTTGGATTTAATGCCATGCAATCCATCATTGATTGATTCAGCAGAGTTCATGGTGGCTCTGCAAACATTTCACCTTTTTGTACTACTCTTCATGCATTTACACACAGAATGTGCATGCACATGCTCATCCACCCTTGGCTGTCAGCTCTTCCTGCTTTCACTGCCACCCTCACAGAATTCATGAGAACCCTCTAACTCCAGAGGCTGTAGGCAGAAGTGCAGAGATCTGCTTGGCAGCGATTGCTGCACAAAGGCAGCGAGGGTTGAACCTGCAGGACTCACTTCCACAGCTCTCCACACTGCAAAGCTCTTGGCTTGCACAGGCACTGCACTACTGCACTTCATCCTCACAGGACAAACCACCCAGAAGAGCCTAAACTCCAGGTTCTGACTTAGGAGCACAAGGCAGAAATAGCAACCACTCCGCTGAAAATCTTCATTCCCTCAAAGGGAAGCTTAGTGACTAGTAAAAAAGACATACTGCTTTCATTTAGGGATTCTTACGTGTGTATGATTCTTTTCATTGTGATGTCACATGTAATGTTTAAATCTGATTTCACTGACTGTGGCTTTAGAGGTTTTATAGAGTTTCATACAGCATCCCAACACCATACCTACTACTAAGGGTAGAAGTGTGCATCTTGGCAAAAGTTCTTTTTTCTGCCTTCTCATATTTTTTCTGAAAAGCCCTGAAAGTATTTAAGAGTTCATCTCAACACAGTTCAACATAACTCTCACAAAACAGGTGTGGTTTTTTTTCACTTGTGTTGTGTTAATTTCTTAAATAAGATGAATACAACAGAACTCTGATGTGTTCATTTGACAGATTCATTAACTGAGAAATTCATTCTGTGCCTTCTTTAGCATTTGAGAACAATTGCTGTAGGAGTTGATCAATACTTTGTTTTTCTTCCCCCACACCAATTTCATATCATTTCTACTTTTATTCTGTGTGGTCAGTAAGACATACAATACAGTCCAAAAGTACTATCTGAAAATACCTCTCTTTGCTGCTATAAGCATCCAAATTAAAAAGGAAATACTACAGTTGTTACCCAAAACAATTACGTAGTATAAATGGGGTTTGATTTTGTAATGTTGTATATAAATATCTCCCCAGAACAATATCCCCCATGAAGTTACAGGGGAGAACTGCATGATTTGCTGCACTTACAAATGCTGTAGTTGTTTGGCTTCCAGTAGAACGTTAAGTGCCATGTCTGGAAACTAGAAATGGTATTACTACACAAGACTGTTTTCTGAGAAGGAAAGTGTGCAAAGTGCTGGGAACAGACAGTCAGTACTGACCATCACATCACCACCAGGAAAGACAGTGCTGGTAGGTGCTGACTCATAGTGCAGCGATGTAACTCTCCTCTCTGGGGTGGGAGATGCAAGCCTGGACTTCCATTAGAAGTATGTCACCATAATGTACACATATTCATCCACTACAAACATCTATTTATGTATTTCTAAGAAACCTGTTGTGAGTAGCTCTCCCATGGGGAGCTACAAAGAGCTTTGATGTCAGCTGGGAAATTTGCATCAGGAACCAATCTGGTATGATATCACCACTAACATAGCAGCTGCCCACAGAGAGGACAAATAAATTAGCATCTTAATAAAAGGCCAGATGACATACAGGGGAGAAATCTGACAGTATATAAAACAGCCTTTCTCCAAAAAAATCAGAAAGAAACCCATATAACTGTTAGCATGTGATACTGGTATTACTGCTGGCACACTGAATGTTCCAAAAGTTGAATGACCAGAGGAGGAGGATCTGCACATCTGCAGGGAGCAGCACTCTGCAGCAGCTGCTGGTTATACTGCACTGTCTGTGTCACAAAGGGGTGGAAATGAGAGAGCAGGGGCAGGCTCTGAGCTGGTGTAAATCAGGATCACCTGCTAGGCCTCCTGAAGCCATTTGTGGATAACACCCAAAGAGATGACTCTCCTTAGAAAGAAATGCCTTAGTGCCTATGGCTGCAGGCTGAAATTCCAGCTCCTCTGCAATCAGAGCAGGGGACCAATTCTACACCCGTAACATGAGAGAGAACCATGTTCAGCTAACGTGTGAGCAGAACCCAAAAATCTCTCCTTCTAGTCTCTTCCCAAGCTATTTAATGTAACAACTTGTAATTCTCCGTTTCCTTGAAGCATTTACCTGCAGTGTATGACCATGGGGCCTTTAGTCTTTGCTGATTTCTGCCTGACCATCTGTACAAACTGGAGAATGCTTTCGGCAGCGTTGGTCGTGGGGACACCATGGTCTGGCCAGGCAGTGTAGTTAAAATGCATCACATCTTGCACCTCATCAGCCTAATGGAAGAAGCAGAACAGCAGCATGTTCACAGGAGTTTTAACAGTGCAGTCATGCTCAGTCGCACTGAGGGCTTTTTGTCATTTTGTGGTGGGTTTTTTTTTCCTCTCAAATACAGCCTAAGGAAGTGAAGTCAGCCAAAAAAGTGGTAAAGAATGTACATGCCATTTGATTAAAAAGGGGAGGGGATGGCAGGTCATTATAATCAAAGTGGTATGAACTTCTTGTTTCTAGGTTTGGGATTTGTATTTTGCTTTTGTCTCCGTGGTGGTTCCATTTTATTTTGCTTTCAAATCAAGAACTGTTGCATTTTTCAAGTTTAGACTTTCTTCCTCTTCCTGTTCCATTCCTTCTCCTTTTCTCATTTTACCAGAGATAAAGAATAATGCTGTTGGCAAACAATCAACACTGGACTCTCTAGAGTTTTTCTTTTCAAGTTGTAAAGAAAAAAAACCCAAAAGGGAAGAGAAAACTCTTACAGGGGGAAAGGAACCATTTAGGAAAATACTCATTATAATAAAAAACTTCATAAAACTTTTCATTATAATAAAAAGTTTTCAAGAACAATTTATAGTAAGAAGGTGTGCCTGAGGTACAGAAAAGAAGAAACTCACACATTTTTTGTCACTAATTATTGGCACCACAGAAGTGTCCAGAGCTCTGGTTCTACTTTTGTTTCAGTTTTGCACTGTGCTGAGAAACTCACAGAGACAACAATTTTAGGGGAAAGTTTTGTGATTTGGTCATCTGCCTGTGTGGAGTGAGTCAGTACATTGATCTCTCTTGGGTGTTTCCCACCGGATGCCAGAAACGGACAAAAGTTAAGGAAAGGCTGGACCGAAATTACTCCCACTCCTTTGGCAGGAGCACGCAAAGTGTTTCACTTACGTAGCTAATTCGGAAGCTCCTATAAACCCAGTCTGTGTGCTCTTCCTCGCTCAGCATCTCCACTGTGATATCCCCATATGCCACAGGATCTTCTGTGAAAGGCCAGTAGTGATCACATTTCACCTGGAAGGGACGTACATCCACACACAGTTGTATTTATATAAATACACACATACATAAAGAAGTGCAATCAAAAGACCCTTTGGTTTAGAAACGCCTACAGCGTTGGTCACTTGATGCTGCAATAACAGGTGATTTATCCTGCAATGCCTTCCAGTCTGACCATTCCTATTTGTGTAACTGGCCATCAGCTATACATTGGTTTTCCAGAGGGTAGCATTAGTACAGTGAAGAAAGAAAAAACAGTGTCGTTGTAGATTGTTAATTTTCCTAACATAATAGAAAAAATGGAACAAAACATGGGGAATGAGAATGTACATATATATTATATATATTCTGTTATATTCCAAATATTTCTATTATAACATCATGGAAAAATGTAAAGCATTGTCCTTCTATTTTATTAGTATTTAAACTTAAAAGAGCAGAATCACAGAATAGCTGAGGTTAGAAGGGACTCCTGGAGGTCATCTCATCCAAATGCCTCTCTGCTCAAGCAGGGTCACCTAGAGCCAGCTGCTCAAGACCATGTCCAGATGGCTTTGGAATATCTCCAAGGATGGAGACTCCACATGCTCTGGGCAACCTTTGCCAGGGCTCAGTCAGCCTCACAGTAAATGTTTCCTGATTTCAGACAGAATTTAATGTGTTTTCCTAATTTGTTCACATCAACTCTTGACTTGTCACTGGCACCTTGTCTCCATTACCCTCCATCAGGTGTTTATACACAGTGACAAGATCCCCTGAACCTTCTCTTTTCTGGGGTGAGGAGTCCCAGCTCTCTCAGCCTCTCCTCATGTAAGAGAAGAGGTTTCATAAGATCAGGAAGGTCACAAGAAGGTCAAATAAGGTCAAGGAAGGTCAAAGGAGGTAAGAACAAAGAAGGTAAGGGGTAGCCAAAGAATATCAAAGAAGATCAGAAGGGTCAGGGAAGGTGAGGGGAATTCAAAGAAGGTCAAAAAAGGTAAAAAAAGGTCAAAGATTGAAGAAGGTCAAAGAAGGTCAGGGAAGGTTAAAGAGGGTCAAACAAGGTTGAAGGTCAAGCAAGGTCAAACAAGGCGAAACAGTTCAAATAAGGTCAAGGAAGGTCAACAAAGATTAAAGAAGGTCAGAATAGTCAAAGAAAGTCAGGGAAGGTCAAAGGAGGTGAAAGATGCTCAGGGAAGGTCAGGGAAGGTCAGTGACATCCAGGGAAGGTTGAAGAAGATCGAAGAAGGTTAGAAAAGTTAAAAGAAGGTCAGGGAAGGTCTGGGAAGGTCAAAGAAAGTCCTGGAATGCCTGCCATAAGGGAAGTGCCATTCTAGGTCAGGTTGTGATACTGCCTTATGATCAGAAAACAATGCAAAGACATTCACTCACCAGAAAATAATGTCATTTTCAGAGTAGTTTCTTTTACACTACGCACAAGATTTTATTACATACCCGTCTTTTCTCATTGCACTGAGTGAGCATAACAATAATCTGAGATTTTTGCTGGAGAACCATCTTCCAAAAATCATTCCTAGTTTCTGGCAATGGTCCTTGGGTTGCAATGTATTCCTGGGGTGAATTATAACCCTAAGAAACAAAGAGATAGGTGCTGTTAGCCAACATGATTACTGCTTCAGAACATGTATTTCTCTCTGGCATTCATACTATTTTTAGTTTGCTTATGTTAAATTCGGAATTCTAAAATTGATTTCTAATATAAAGAAACTATTTTACAATCTTTTGTATTTATTTTTGTGGTGGCAACTTTTGCCAGAATTGATGCTCCTGAAATGTAAGCAGTTTAGAATGAAGGACAGAAGATGAAATGGTTAATATACAAATCATTTGCCCAGAGAGCAGAAAAGGCAACATTAAAAAAGCAAGTAATAAGAACCCTAAACCAAAGTTTCAGGTTCTTCCAAATTATGTAATTTTAGGGTTTGTTTAGTTACAGGCATAAACCCAGTTATATATGCTCAGCCTGCTCATCCCAAGCAGTGCCTGTGGTGATTTTCAGCCCCTGGTGTAAGTGGAATGTAGCAATGAATGCATGTGCTTATGTCATAAGGACTTGAAATAATAAAATATTAATTAGAATTCTGCTTAAAATAATAGAGAGCATGCTGATTCAATGCTCTTAACACATGCTCAAATGTTTTATACCCATGTGTTTCTTTTTCTATCCCTATCAACATGCTTTTAGTTGGAAAGATTCTTTCCATGCTCCAAAACCAAAAGACTGTTATTAAGACTATAATAAAAGATCCACGGAATGACCATTTTGGCATCATCTATAACCATATTTGCTGAGATTATATTGTCAAAACTGCATTTGGAAAGTTATTTTATATCCCTAGCAAGAGTAAAAAATACATACAACACACAGCATGATCCCATCCTGAGCAAATTGGACAATTTCTGTGCTACCACAGTATGAAGATAGTAAAATTATTTGTCATTTGGGAGCACCTTCCACAAACGACTTCCTCCAGACATCATTACCAGTCAGCTCAGTCTGAGTTTTTGCACTACACAGAATTTGCTGCCTGTTTGTCTGCATGGGCTACGTCTGACCTAAATGCCAAATCTCTCTGTTAGCACAGGGACACAGATTCCCCTTGGTTTATGTGTTTGGAGGCAGGAACTCAGTGGAGAAGCGACCCTCAGGAAAAGCTAAGCATTAAGATGATGTGTCTGTCCCAGTTTCTATGGTCAACATTGTGCTGTAAGTAATACTAAAGAGATGTAAAGCAGAGCTGAACATCCAAAAGGGACCGCTACTTAAAATCCTATAATCCATAATCCCATGTCACAGAAGTTTCCTGTGTTGTTCACGATGCTTCGGAATGCTGGAACATTTTTCTTTCTTGATTCTCTGCGAGTTCAGGCACTTGCAGCCTGAGTGCTCAAGGTCATGCAAGGTCATGCTCTTGGCACATAGGAGCCAAGCACAGGCAATTTGCTCAACAGTCCACACATGGGCAATGCCACAGTGACAGAGAAGTGGCTTCACTGACTCATCCGAGGGCTCCTCCCTTTTCTGTAATGCTGACTCAGCTCTCGTCAGAGCCAGCTCTGCCTTCCCTTCATGGCAAGAGTGCAGAGATGCTCATCTGTCTGTGGTCCCCAGGTAAAAAAACCTTTTTCTAAGTGGATGCTGTAGTGCTCTACCTCCTCTCTACGCAGAGAAACACTGGATATTGCTCTCCAGCTTACACAGAGCCACAGTATGGGAGGGTAACAGAGGCGCAAACCTTTGTGGCAGTGGCAGGGATAAGCCTAAGTGACTGCACAGGTGAGAGTGGAAAAAGCTGATGAGGTTTCAGCCAACCCCTCAGTGTCAAAACATTTGGCTACAGCTCTGTGTACACTTGAATTATCCTAAAACTGTGGGTGCTACTCCCTGGTAAGTGGCTGTTCTCTGCCAGGAGGAGAGAGGGAGGCCCTCTGGGAGCACCACGGATGAGGCAGAAAGCAGGAATTCCCTCCACGCACCATCTGGGCTCTGTGCATTTTGTCAGTTGTGGAGTGTTAACCCTTTTACCATGTAGTGTAGAAAGCTAGAAAAATTTCTCATTTAAAAGTTTATGGGTTTGTTAGCTGCCTTAAAAGGCCCCTGAATCACTCAGCATTTCCTCCCCATTTCCCTATCAGTCCAATCTGGGTTTCACAAAGCTCACCCAGTGCTACTGTGGGAAAATTTGTCAAAGTCTTCCCCTCTGCCACCTTTTTTTTCTTTTTTGGTGGCTGACATAACACACAGTTCCCTGTAGGCAAAATACTTGAAGCTGAAGGCGACGCTGAGAACATGACTGAGCTTCCAGAAGTTATTGTGCTGTTTGCAGGGGGCACACTGCTGTGCAGGACACTTAACTTTACACTGACCAAGTCTCTGTACTCACAGGAATGTAGTTGGCATTAATGTAATCAGATCCCTCCTCTTCATTCATTGAGACTAAGCGGACACGACTAAAATCATCTGTAAAAGGAAAAAAAAAACCCACAAAAACCTTTTCTCTCAAACACGGCACTCACCCCCAACCAGGCAAAATTAAAAACAGTCCTACAGAAACTGCAAAAAAAAAATAGAAAATGCTTAAATTTACCAACAGAGCAATGTTTGATTGCTCCAAGTGCCCTCCAAGTGCCATCCCTGTGGGCTCCCTTAGGTTTCATTAAAATCACAAAAGAAAAATAGTAACACTACTCAGTAGTAGAAAAGACCTTGTGCTTCTCACCTCCAAACTTTTGTGATAAAACATCCCCAGGAAGCTATGTCTGTTCAAAGCTAACCAAAACCATCTCTTGCCCGGTTCTCTGAGAGAGCAGATTTTTAGAATGGACTTTTAACAGTCAGGAAATCTGCCTTGATTTTCCAATTTTCTTATTAAAACTCTTCTTTCCCTGGCTGGGGATGTCAGCAGGATTTAGTGTGCATTGTACTTACACGGCAGGATATTTGTGTAGCGATTTTTACAGCGATTCATGGGAAGGTCAGCAGCAAAGTGGGGTATGTCAAGCCCAATCAGTTTTAGCTCCTGGGGTAACAGAAAGAGAAACACCAAGGTCAAACTCACACACGCTCAAAAAATAGTTCTTTGAGAAGCAATTACTTGTAGCAGGTACCAGACAGAAAATGTTTATGAATCACTTTATAAACTGACGTAGGACTATACTGACTTTCCTTATCTGATGCCTCTGAGTTGGACTCCAAGCAGCTGCAGGGCAATGCTGGAGTCTCCTGCTGAATGCTGCCAACACACTGCTGCCTTCCAGGCTGTGACTGCAGATTGTCCCTCTCTACCCACATTTAATTACCCAAAACCACTGTCAAACCAGGAGGTTGCTGAGTTACTTCTGTGGTGGTCATCTGCCTCACTTAAAGGGGTTTCTTCAAGTCCTCAAGTGGCTTTTAATTTTGGGGGAATGCTTGGAAGATCTTTCTAGTCATTACCTTCAGTAGTTACATCTAATATTTATTGCATTAGAGGAAGTTTCACTGCCAGGAAGGGATCCTGCCAGCCATCTCAACGCCCAGAGAATCTTCCCCACTCCCTTTCCATGTTTAAATCTTTGGAAGACAGCCCGAGGATAGGATTTTTTTTAGATTTATACTATTAAATTGACTTTAAATTCTGGGTTATTAAGAGAATGCACCTAAACCTGTCTTAGAGTGATCTTCTTGCTCTTACAGAGACTTTTGATGCTGCTTTCTCATTCCAATGCTTCTTCTCAAATTAAGGGCATTTAAGATGAAAAATAAAGATATTAAAATCCCAAATTCAATTCAGTCTACCAGCACACCTTAAAGTAAATGTGTTGCTCTGACAATTATCTTGAATTGATTGTGATGAGGCACTCAAATGAGTTTACTAAATGCAGGCTTTAGCAACACCAACATCCACTTTTAAATTCTGCAGAAGTGGAAGTGAAGCTGACCCACCCAGCAACAGCTCACATCGATCAACACAGAGCACAGGAACACACCACACAAACTTAACGTCTTGAAAAAGCTGATCTGGGCATGGCAAGTAGCAGAGGGCAGAATCCTCAGAGATTTACCTCAAATTGCAGAGAAAATTTGTAATCTGAATCTTTGGCCATATCCTTGATGTATCCGTCAAAATCATCCAGCTGGACAGGGCTTTAAAGGAAAAATACACAGAAATTAAGTAAAAAAAAAAATTCAACTTTGAAGTACCTTTCATTTCTGTTTCCCCCAGAATAGTGTGACTCTTGGGGATAGTCCTGTACAGGGTTAAGAGTTGGACTCAATGATCCTTGTGGGTCCCTTCCAACTCAGCATATTCTGTGATTATGTGACTCTCAAGTCATAAATGTGTATTTGCAACTGTTAATGCTAGAAAGCAACAATAAAGAGCAACCCTGTGGTTCAGGGCCACAAAATGTGGGTGTACTACTCATTACATAATGCAACAGCACCAAAAAGAGAGGCTGAGAGGGATTGGGCTTGTTCTACCTGCAGGAAACCACTGGTCTGAATGGCCCGTGCACCCTTCCTACAATTAATCACTAGCCACTGAACTGCTTTTGCAGGTGGGTGCAATCCCAAGGCACAGGTGGCACAGTAAGAGGTGGTGATTCAGGACTCCACTGCAGACCCACTCTCAGTGCCATCCCACCAATGTGCTTCTGGCACCAGAGCAGCTGCTGCTGCTTCATTTAAGTTGCCTCTTGGGCCATGAGAAATGTTGCTTTCGGATAATTTCACTTCTGGAAGAGACGCTTTTAAAACTTGTCTGAGCTTTGCTCATGCAGAGAAATTGATTTCATATTTAGGCTTTGATTTTTTTTCAGAAGGTCCACCAAAAAAAAAATCCCCCTAAACCATCATTTTGGATGCCACTGTCCCGACTGCTTTCTTTGCTGGCTTCGGGAACTGTACACAGTTGTCATTAGAGGTCAATGTCTCAAAGAGATATGGTGGTTAAAAAAAAGTGGCACATAACTGTAGAAAATCCTGGAGAGCTTCAGCAGGTATGAATTAGCCTTGATTTAATGACTCCCATCATTCTACACACCAGGTGAGGATCTGTCTGCTATAGTAGAGGCACAGCCTCTGAACATAACGCAGAAATAATTAGGCTGACTATCTGAACAACGAAACACAGGTAAACAGCTTCCCTCATCTAATTATCATGCTCTAATTTACAAGCTACTGAAGCATGTACACAGTAATCTTCTCATTTACTTTGAGGCAATATGCCCAAAGGAACCTGTCTTATCACCACTTAATTACTCCTGTTTACCCGTTAGCATTAATGATCTAATGTTCTAGCAACAACTGTAATGAGAGCCTGATGTCAGGAGGGAAATATCAGTAGAAATAAATCCATCCCAGTTTTCCCCCCTTTGTCATTTTTAACTAAGGATAAGCTCCGTCAAAATCACTAAGTTGAATAATTGATCTTTTCCCTGATGACTAATTTTCTATCAGTAAGGAGCTGTTTTATTACAATCTGGGAGAAGAATTGCTTTTGTCCAACTATTGTTTGTTTTCTGACTGCAGATATCTCTCTCAGGATATGTTTATCTAGAAGCTTTCTATATCTGTAACTGCAATACCACTATGACATGTACTCCATAATGCATATTTAGTCTAAGTCTTACTCCTTTAAATATCAAAGAAATTACATACTTGGTCAGCTTTCTCTTCTTTAATCCATTTTTACTCCTGTAAAAAGAAAAAAAAAACAAAAGAGAAGTGTTTTTCATTCATTAAACTATTGTCTATTCAAAGATAATACTGATTTAAGAATGTATGCTTCCTGGTCACCATCATACTCAGGAGGAGATTGATGATAATAACTTGGACAATTTTAAGCTGACAACAAAATTTCTGTTGACTCCAGTGGGATGCATTTTCCACTCCATGGCTCTGAGAATGTGAAAAGGAAACCCTTGGGAAAAGGAAAACCTGTGCCCTCTATAAATCCTGACCCAAGGGTGTTGTTGGTTTTGGGTGGGCTGAGCCCAGTCGAGCTTGGCAGGGGGCTGTGCTGCTGGGGGGAACACGGCACCACAACATCCCCTGGGCTGCTCTGCTCAGTCTCCAGTGGGCTGGGAAACTGGATGTCAACACTGGAGAGCAACTGGGAATGAGAAGCATCTGTTGGGTAAAGGGAAATGACCACCATTTGCAAACCTGAGAAAGGGTGAAGGAAAAAAAGAAAGGACCTATTTTATAACCTGCTTGTGATGATCAATGAAGACAATGGCAAATATCCCACTGACCTCAGTGGCACTCAAGCTTAAACCTTAGATAATGTTAATTGACTTTTAACAGCTAGAGATAATTATGCCAGTCGTGTAATACAGTCTGCACATGATTTATAAGTGATATAATTCACTACTGACAGTGATGAGCAAATTTTTCAATATGTTAAGCAGTACAACCCAAAGGTTTGAACTACACTACACTAACTACCACCATGTGGTTTTTTGGAAGGGGTGTGTGTGTTCATTTCAGTTTTGCCACAAAAAAGTTAAGCAATCAATCAGATTAAATGCACAAAGTAAGCACCCTAGAATACTTTGGCTAGAGGTCTGAAAACACTAATCTCCTTTGTTAAATCAGCTAAAGAACAGATTCTTGTTATTCAAAAATAATTTTAGTAGTGTCATTTCTTTTCTTACTGGTCATTACACAATATCTGTTCATTTTCCACATTATAATAATGCTATTTTTAATTTCATGATGACATGAAAATGACTTCTAGATAATTTGGTTCATAGCTTCAATTAGAAAATCAAAGGAGAAGGCTTTTAAATTTAAAACAGTGAAAATATACAGAAATAAATATTAAGAAGTGAAGTATTTTTATTTTTCTACCCCACTAAGTTTAGAAGTTAAATTAAAAAATTAATTTCTAAAATTAAGCTTTAAGAAATATTCAATTTCTGGAGCAGCCACATCCTGTAGTGATTTTGGTATTTTGTCAAGGTACATTTCCACTTAGATAAGGAGTTTTGCCTGCAGAATTAACAAGAACTATAGTAATATCAGCTTTACATTAATGCAGAGATTTACTTTGCACAGCTTTACTTTGCAAATACTACAAACCTCTTCAGCCTACCATGTTATCTGTACAGACACTACCTGTATAGTATCTGTACATTCATGTGGACTGTACACATAAACTCTCCATCTTTGAAGAATTCTTCCAATGAAATCCTAAAATTAATATCAGTAAATTATTCAACACATCTCTGTCCCCTGTGACTATGGTAAACCTTTTAATGTTGGGCACATTGGAATTAATTTGAAAAGAAAAAGAATACCTAAATGTTCTTTATGATGGGGATGCTTCTAAGAATGCTTCTCCAAGGAACACTTCAAGAGGCAATAAAACAAACGATTGATATACATATGTCAGCAAGAATTTCATGTGCTTTGATAGTCTCAAGAGGCCTTTGTTTCTTAGCATTGCAATTGTTTTCTGAATGTTCATAAATATTTTAAGCCAACTTGTGCACAAAACAAAGACATTTGAAACGTTAGCTGGTGTTTCATCTGTTATTCCATTTACTCTACAGATTAAAATACAAAGAGAGGGATTAATCTCATCTCATTCAACTTCTGCTCCTGTGAATTTAATCATCTACACTAAACTAGGTAGACTGATTGAAGAGGAAACCTCTAAAGAAAGGTACACATCTGGAAAGGTGAGTTAATGCAAAAGAAAAAAACCAAAGGGGCAAAAGAAGACAACAATTCTTCTTGCAGGAGCTCCACCACTGTGCAGCTCGAGAGTTACCTGGGTTTACATCAGATAAATTACAAGTCAATATAATAGGAACCTTGGAGAGGTGTGGAAGACTTCCAGCTGCTCTTCAGCTGGGTGTGTGTAAAGAACATGATTTCATTTTCCTGAGAGAAGAAATGGACCTTTGTTCAGTTACATAAACGCTCTCATTTCTGGGCCCACTGAAAATTTAGATGGGTTTTTTTTCATACCTACTGTGACTCAAGGGAACTCAGCCTCAGAAATCCCTGTGTTGAAGATGTTGATATCTGCTTGCCAGTGCTTTGGTGTCATGTGGTAAGACCAGGAAAAATAAATCTAAACTTCCACACCACATGTTTTGTAAATCCCTATAGTTTGGACTCAAGACCATCAGGAAATTAAGTTTCTTTATTAATTTAAGTGGTTTTGGATCATAGTAAATTTGTAGTTGTTTCTTAAATGGTTTGTAAACCAGTTCTGGTTCTAAGTAGACCCATGGCTTTGTTAGGTATTTTCAAAAAAAGCCATCAGTTGTTTACTAAGTCTTTATAAATTATTTACAGACTGAAGTATTAAATACACACAGATACACAGTGAGACGTGCACACAGTGATCCAATTTGTTCACTTTGGGACCTCTATTTGTATCAGTTCTCACTGAACTGGTTTTTTTCAAAAGCAAAACATTTACTGTGTCAGGAGAACGTAACTGCACCTTTAAAAAACCTGAGGTATTTGACATCACACACCAAACAGGTGGGGCATGATCAAGCAATTTTAGTAATAGAACAGCATCCACACAAGTCAGTGCCAGGCAATGAACAGGTGAGTAACTGGGACACAAGAAGCCAGGATTTACAATGAAGTGGCAAAAATTGCAAAGACAGCAACGAGGTGAATATGATGACCACTGCAAGATTAGCTTTTTAATACCAAAATGGGTTGGAGCATAAGCAGACGAGCCAGATGAAGCAGGGTAGCAAATACTTTGGTACCCACATCCTCTCCAATCCGTGTTCTAGTACAAGAAAATTGTATCTTCAAAAGCTTCGACCCGTTTGAAAACAAAGGTATCCCACATTTTTCATGTAATAGGAATTAACATTGTTTACACATTGCATATGGAAAAACAAGTAAATCACTTACCAAGGATTAATATAAAATGCCAAAAGATAATCAGTCCAAAGGCATGAGGGTAGCAGAGTTAGGAAAGCAAACACACTTCTACGCCTGTGAGCATTAATAGATAACATACATAAAGATGAAAAAGTGAGGAGAGTTAGTAAGACAAACAGAAATCAGGAGATCAGCAAATTCTATTTTAAAAATCAGCTAATCCCATAAATCCTTCTCCTTACTTACTTCATAAGAATATTATTAGCATCCCTAGAATTTTTGCTCTCACCTGACACCCTCTGTAGGTTTTTCAGCTATACAACATAAAATTCTATATGATCAAAATAAATGTGTTTTATAGTACTGATTCAGGCCTGTTATTCCAAATTTTAAGGGTAAAAAGGGTATGAAAATATAATCAACAGGTTTATAGCTATTACATAGGTTGTACTAAGTCCATTTTCTGATGTTTTGAGATACTTCAGGACTGACAAGGCTTGTTTTTACCATATACAGCTATTATAATCTCCCATGTTTGTTCCTGCAAGTGATTCTGTGGGTACCAGAAGATCTATATCAGATATAAATTCAGATGCTTCTAATATCTCCTAATACTCTCCATTGAGTCAGATTTCTGAAAGCATCCATATAACATTTTAGAGAATGCTTTAAATTATCGCTTAGGTTTTCAGCTAAATATGGTTTAAACAGTTCTTCTAACTGTGGTTTCTACAAATAACTATTCACATCAGGTTTAATTGTGGAAATTGGAGTACAAAATAATTCTAAACTTCTAAATCATTTACAAACCATTTACCAGATTCTGCTACACATTAACCCAGTAAACAAACATTTCCCCAGTGGAAGGATTTCTTTTTTTTTTTTTTTTTTCCAAATACACCCTCAGTGTGTTTTTAACCCTTCAGCAAATCTGTTGTCTTAAAAAGCAATACCATCCTTCTGCAACTGTTCTAAAGAGGAACTACAAAGTGAAATTTCCTTGTTCAGTACTCTTGGCTCTTAAAAGTCAGTAGATACTGGTTTTTTCCCCTGACAAACAAGTCATGTCAAATGTAATCATCTCTCATCTTAATCGTCCAACCAGTGGAGGAAACTTCTGCCCAAACATGGTGAAAACTGCAAGTTATGCTTTTATGGGTTTTGCTGCTGTAAAGGAAATGGGCAGTGCAGTTTCTGCAGGGCACCTTCCCCAGGCATTGGGAGGAATTGTGTGGGTCAGCCAGAAGCAAGAGCCTGTTCTAGTTAATCATATGCCATAGCAACTGCAGCATCAGGCCTTAGGGCTCATCAGTTGTTGAGTCTCTATGGGACTGAACTGGGGATGAAATCTGATTTTCCCTAAACAGATTTCTGGTGCCACAATTAGGTTTCCTTCAGGCTCAGAAGAGAGAAGTGATGATTTAGCTGGAATACACCTATTTCCTTTGGAAAACTCCAAGTGAGGTTTTTACTTCCTCTTGCCCTACAGAAGCAAAAGAAATTATTTAGGCCTGAGCCTCTTTCATCATCAAATCATCACAAGAATTTTCCACACTTTATCAAATCACGGGCTAATGTGCTTGCAAACCTAATTAATATTGTTCACTGATTAAGAGCTCTGATATCTAAACCAACTGATTTCATTCAATGTATGAAAAATGTGTAACTGCCCAGAAAATACAAAATTGTTTTCATGCAGTTATGTAGTCTTTCACATACTGCTCACATGTACTGAACAACTTTACTTAAAGAAAGAGAGGCAGAGACTGCATATATCCTGAAAACTCTGCTGAGCTGATCTTCCCTTAGGAAGCAGTGGATATGCCCATACCTCCCTTACTAGATTCCCTGGAATGACCCCAAGCAAAATGGGTTTCTTCATCCTTCTCTTTGGTACCATATTTACCATTTGGCTGCCTGGATTGATGGTGAATCTGGTCTAGACATTAGACAACAGAGGCAGACAAAACAACTCTCAGATAAATAGGGACCACAGGATTAGGACACACTGCCATCAGTTACATAAAACTGTGGAGATATTAAGCAGGAATATTTTCCCCAATTTATATTTTTATAACATAATTTACGTGTGTGTAATATACGTGTATATACACATAGATATATACACACACATACATACACACACACCAAATCAAGCAACAAGAACCTTCACTTTCACATCCAAACCTATTAATTCCCCTTCCCATTAAAAAAAAAAAGCTTTTTATGGTTTTAATAACGTCCGTTGCCAGTTTAATCATTTCATTCAAGCTTGGCTATTTAATTAACGTGAGTGTTTGATCTTCTGCCTTCTTTGCCATTAATATAGTCCAAGCAAGAGAAGCTGAAAGATGGCTTCGTTTGTACAGCATACAGCTGGCTGCTATTAAAGCTGAACCAAGCAAGTGAAGCTTGTTTAATACCCAGTTAATTAGCAGCACAGTGAGGTATTGACAAGATTCACTGGGCTTGTTAGTTCAGTTTGCATGCTTATTAGCAAAAGGCTTGTTGTAGTGCGGTGTCAAACCATTTAATCCCGTCCCTGTTGGAAGGCTGTGTCCTATGAGATCATGGAAGCAGTTCCCTGCACACCAACTCTTCTTTCCAACTTCTTAGCTGTCAACAAAGTTGACCATGGCTGTAAAACCGAGGCACGTGTTTTCTCCTTCTTACATACTGGAATGGGGCTGATGTTACGCTTTTAAATATCTGTGCTTGGACTTGCCTTGAGAAAGGTTTTTGCAGAGATTTCTGCTGACAAAACTGCAAACCTCGAGTCTGTCATCCCCACTCATTTGATTATCAAAATAGGAGTGGAAATGACCATGCTGGTGCCAGTCAGGTAGCTCTCAAAGCCTTTTACTGCTATAAAAGCTAATCCTACAGACTTTCTTCGTTCAAATACTTCTTTTCAGCTGATGGTGACAGTGATGGTTTGGAGTCCATAGTCAGTACTTGCAACCCTTGCAGGTGGTTTTCTAGACTAGTAAGAATCTGTTTAGGATTTTTTTTTTTTAACAGCACTGAACATTAAGTTACAGTATATTGGAGTCTTGCAATTGTAAGGAAATTGTCTTGCAGTGTAAGGAAATATTAATTAATGCCACTGCATGAAGACAGTTGCTAATTAGTCATCTACAGGCAAACTTACTCTGGGATATAAATATATGGAAGTGCTAATGGATTTATAGATCAAGTTTCCAAAGTTGTGTTATTTTAGAAAATATGTCAAAGAGAAAGGAAAAAAAAAATCCTCCCAAAACACATCTATGCAACTTGGCTGACATGTATGTACATCATTCCCTACTAAAAATAGCAGGTGACAGAATGCATGTCTTCAGTCATCATTCAAAAAATAAAACGCATTTAAGGAATAAAATACCACATTAGCAGGTATAGTAGTTTAATCCTAAAGAGGGACAGCAATGACATAAAAAATAGGCACTTTAACATTATAGATAATATTTGCCAAAAAGCGGAGATGGGAGAAAACATAAGATTTGCTTCAAACACTCACCAGTTATAGGGAAGCTTTCCATCTCTCTCTAAAGATGCAAAATTCACAAAGGTTCCAGCCCCACATTCCCTGTTTCAGGAAGACCATTAGATAAAAAGTTAACATTTTTGGATTCACAATGGTTGCAGTGAGCTTGATTTAACACAGAAATCTTGGAGTTGCAGAAAAGTGCTGAACGCTCACATTTGTGACTAAGTCTGAGATAATCTGTAACAAAAGGAACTGAAATCCCTTAACAAAATCAAATCCCTTGTCCAAAACCAATAAATGTTCAGCACCACCTGAGATCAAATTACCTAAAAATGCTTACAAAGAGTGAAGTGAAACAAGGGAGAAGTTGTTAATAAATTTCTCAAATAGATCTCATCTTCTGTCCAGATTTGTGCTTTCCATAGTCAAGCACTAGCACTGTTTTCTGGCCTCAGTACCAATGCTAAATATTTACCTTTCTATACTAAATATTCACTGTCCCCACTCTAAGGAGAAGATGTTTAATTGTGTCCTTTTTGCAGGACCATGGTAATTTTGAGTTGAGAAAATAATTGGGGGGGGGAAATAAAAAGAATTCCTGAATAACATTCCAGGGAATTTATCACAACTCCATTATTTTCGGCTATGAATTATAAACTGACTTGACTATTTTTGATTTCTTGATTTAAGCAAACAATTGATTGCAGCTTCTTATTGGATTTATTTTTTAAAATTTCCTTCTGGGGTGTTTACCTTCTGTGGCTAGAAGCAGTGATGAAGAGAAAAAAAAAAAGCTTTGGGCTGCCTGCACAGTAATTACATAGGAAAGAGAATTAATTTAGCCAGGATTTTCACAGAGATAGTTACATGTAAAAGGAACAAATCACATAATGTTCTCTGAAAGAGATAACCTGCAAAATATGTGTGATGTGGTCATCTGTTGTATGGAATACACAGACAAGACACAACACATAAAATGCAGTATCTACTAGGTAGTTAAGTGCAAGATGTTTCCTTAAAGTTTTTTTACATGAAATAACTTCCTTTCTTGACACGGTACAATAAATTAATAAAAAATATATTACATAGATTTTTTTAAAGGATGAAGACTCCATGACACATCCAAAACTAGGAGGTAAAACACATATCTAGGGTTTGGAGAAACTGCTGCAGATCACACATGCCTTAACATAACCCAGACAAAAGCAAACTGATACAGGTAAGATCACCTAAAAAAAAGGAAATTGAATTTTAATAGCCAGGTACAAGTGATTGGTGCAGACAGCTGAAGGTTCTGTCAGAAAAAGATAATTTTTCCCTTCCTCTGTGCGTCAGAACAAAATGGGGTCATTAATGATATGAGTGAACAGCGGAACATGAGATCCTCCTGGGTTCATGTGTCTCTGTGCATAGATGGCTGCACCCTGACTGCATAGAAACACAAGATTTAGGTGAGCCCAAGCTGCAGTTCCCATTTGAGGGCAGACCAGCAAATACTCTAGAGAGAGATCTCAGGACACTGGGCCCATCTTGCCTCACCCCAGGGGTTTGGCTGCCAGGGCTCAGGCCTCACATGGCCTCTGAAATGCATCATCCTGGACCTGATGAACAAACCATGTTATCTCCTGATACGGAAAATCTGTTCCAAACCATATGAAAGACTCATGAAGCATCCTGGTGTCCTGCTTGTGTCTGGTTGCCTCAGATCCTAATTGTCATTTACATTACTGACACAACCCTTATAAATTAGTCTTGCAAAGTTCAAAATGAGAGAAAGGTTGAGGCTTATAACTCAGGTCAAGAATGAAAGTAGATAGAGGAAGAAGACATGCTACTCCTAAACAGCAATAAAACAACTATTTTGAAGGCATCCTGTTCACAAGCATCTTGAGTAGCACATTCTTAATTGAAACTATTGTCATGATGTGTTTGTTGTTGTCTGATTTTTTTTTGCAATTAGCATAAATCTGGACTTACCTGGCCATTTGTAGGTGTTTTCTTCTGAGTACAATAAGAGTCACCAGCAGCAGTCCAATCAGAAGGATACTCAGGATGGCTAACACAGAGATTACCACTACATTGGGATTCATCTCAGTGACTGTAAATACAAAAAATGATTCTCAGTTATTCAATTCAGAAGCAGTGACAACTTTGTTTTGTTTTGCCCTGAATTATGATAGTGCTATTTTTTTTTAAACTGAACTCATTCAGAGTGTTGCAGAGAGGAAAATCTACCACAAGAAATAAAGCAAGGTTTTAACCAGGTTTTTTCTCTTAGAATATTTATTTGGCTTAGGAAATTTCTTTTGACTTCACTCTGGCATTTTTGTTAAACTTTGGCGTTTCTGATTTGTTTGGTTTTTTTCCTTCTTAACTGACATTCACAACGCAAGAGAAAATGGTGATGGTAACATAAAATACAGATATTCACCATCATCTATGTTGATCATCACATTTCAACTCAGAAGTTGTTCTTCAACAATAATCAATACTTTTTCTGACCCAGAAGCAAAATAATAGGCTGAGGCTCTGTAATTTACTGGGTGGATTAAAACTGATTAATTACTCTGGAAGATAAATTTAAACAAAATATTCTGTTTTAAATAATGACTGAAATCAACTCTCAGTAACAACACCTTGATTTATTTTTGTTTCATATTACATGGTTATGGACTATACTACTATGAGACTGTTCTGCTCATTGTATATTAAAATCTCTCTACTTTGTGTGCTCAGAATAACTTTACATTCACAGTTTCTATGGAAGCATTTTTTAGATTAAAAAGCACAGAGAGTTTTAAGCTAAGTATCAGCACTGAACTCCATCATGGAGTGGTATTATGTACAGGACAAGTGACTAAAGCTGTGCAACTCCCCAGATAAGCAGAGATGACACTGAGCACTGAGAAGGGGAGATTTTAAAGGAAAGTCCAGTGCTCTGACCAGTTCAACACCATTATTTTTATTTCAGAGCCAGTATAGAGCCAACCTTCATTACAAGTCTAGGGATCTTCCATCCTTTGGCTGGGACTGCTCAATGTCCTGCAGTGGCCTTTCCCCTTCTCTCTCACTTCTTTGATGAATGCAGAAAGCCCTAACAGCTCATGAATTTGATTTTCCTGGTGTTTGGGATTGGCTGAGAACACATTTTTCTCCATAAATGTCATCAAGCACTACCCTGATGTACAGTATTGGCACCACAAATTAGGTCCCTGATTTCTAAAGCCCAGAACAGAATTGACCCTCTAGTTTATATTTTTCCAAGTCAAACTCCCTAGTGGGGACTTTTCTAAGGACTTTTTAAAGCTGCTTCCCCATCCCATCCACATCTGGCAGCCTTTCCATGACACGAAAAACCCCTGGGGCCAACATTACAAAGCGCAGCTTTAGAAAGCAAGGGGAAACAGATGAAGCTGGATAAGGAAGAAGAAAGCAGGGAAGTGCTGCTTACCCATGGTGGAAACCACAATGAAAGTGGGGATGCTGGGGCTGTTGTGGCTGAAGGTGGTCACGCTGCAGTTGTAGGAAGTGGCAGGGGTTAGGCTGGAAATGGTCACAACGTGTGAAGAGACGGTGACAGGTTCCTGTGGACATGGGGAAAAACACACAGAAGTTTGTCTCTCCTGCAAATGCAAGAGCACAAATCAGTGCTCCACATAATTGACCGGATAAAGCAAGATCTGGCGAAAGAAATCAGCACCTTGAAACACAGGGACGGTGATCAGGACCTGCCCTTGAAAATAGACAGGTAGTCTGGCAGAAAAGGGGAGAGGGATAGGGTGAAAACAGCAGCAAGAGCAGCCCAGAGCAGCCAAAGGACCTCAATGCTTTTTGAGGAGGGGAGGATGGGTGCCTCACAGCAGGCTGGTCAGGCACATGCCTGGTGGGGGCAAGAGCTGTGACCTCCAGGACACCCTCAGAGGTGGGCAGCGCTCAGGAGCTCTGGTTACTAAGCCATACAGGCAGGAGGAAAGCAAAATTATTTTTATTCAAAACACAGTCAAGACAGCCACAACCTCTGCACCCTCATATGAATGCATGTCATCTCTGCCTCTGAGGCAGTTCCTCTGGATGTGAGCCCTTTGAGTGGCCCAGGTGAAAAACAAAGCTAGAGCAGAGCCTTTTGGTAATAACTATGATCAGACATCCTACAGCTCAGTTCTTCTAGCTAGAAACTCTTTAAATAACATATTTATAAAATGTTTTAATTACTATGACCCCAGTAAACGCTTTTGTAATTTTTAAATGTCGATAAAACAAAAGAAAACAAACACAAGTATTCCATGTGCGTTGACTTAAAGATAAAGCTCCTGAAGGTCTTCAAATTTCTATACTGTCCAGTAAAACCACGGGTGGTTTGGAGTTGCAAAAACAGAGACACTGAAAGAGTAGTTTAGAAAGGGAAGAAGGAGAAGTGTTATGAATGAACTCCAGATGGAGAGTGCAAGATGCTGTAACAAGTCTCAAGCACTGTTTACAACAGCCTGTTTTCAGTCCTGGCCTAATCCTAGGCTTGCAAGGGCTCCTGTTGTAGTGCAATTCTGAGGTGCATTATGCAGATGAAATCACATGGGCATAAATAGAAGGGAGGAGAGTCTTATTGCCTGAGCTGAAAGGAGAGGCCACTCTTTGGCATTTGCACTTGGTTGGATGTTTTCCATTTTCCCCTCTGGGAAACTTAAATTAGTCAACCAAAATCCAAGACGTTCAAACCCGGAAAGCTCTTGCTTTCCACTTTGCTGATTTAAAGATGGAGGAAAGGGACAAAAAATGTCCATGTAATTAGCACGGAAAATCACAAAGAATTTTCACCAGTTTATTTGGAAAGCATCCCTTTTTACAGCTCAAAAAAGGAGCCTTTCCCATTTTCTTCATAGAGACAGAAAAGACAGTGATGAATCTAATGAGCAGTGAGCTGACAATCTCTGTGCATTACCCCGTGCCAGATGTTCATGTCAACAAATGTGACACCCACTGAAGCATCTGCCAAATGAAGCAGTCTTTTCCTGATGTTCTTAAACCAGATATGCTCTGCCCTAAGGTTGCAAATCCTGTGGTACCTTCCTTGCCTGATCGCATCATTATTTTGAATCTCTGCTAAGTGATAATGAGTTCATGATCTTTAGCCATACAGAGTGAAAACCCAGGAATCTAGATGTGGATTCCAAATTATCCAAAAGATTAAAGTCCATATAAAGATTTTTTTTGCCTTTAGTCAGTGTCTTTTTCTATTTTAAAAGAATATTAGATAATTCAGATTGGTATGCCATAGGATTAAAGAGTGTGCAAGTCTCTTTTGTGATAGTCAGTGGGTTAACTAGCTTATTTTTCACTTCTTTCCTGAATGTTTCCCCCTTATGTGTGACAGTCCACATGAGAAAATGATGTTTCATGGCATATGCTCACAGTGATTCACTATAGCATCAGCTAAACCACAAAGTAAACCTCACATGTTGCACTGAATGACAAGGAATTAAATCTACTACTGCTCTCTATTTTGCACTGAACAGCATTTTCAGTTTAAACACTCCTGTATTCAGGTGGCCTCTGAGCACAAGTACCTAACTGGGCAGAGAGAAAAGGAGGTTCATTTCTGAGGCTGAGAAAGTGAGTCTTGAAGAAAATACTCTGAGACAAAATGCATGAGGAGCAGCCACATTTGCAGCAGAAAGGTACTCTTTGAATAGCAATGAAGCTACTACTGAACTTAACTGGAACTACCACTTAACAGATCTCAAAACCAGAAATAAAGTGTGCCAGAAATAAATAGATGCTGCATAAAAGATCTCATGGCCTCTAAATATGTCTATTTTTTCCCATTCCTTATCAAGTTACCTGACCATTTTTCCCTTTTGCTAATTGACATTCCCTTAGTTTTGTGGCCCTTTAGATTTTGCATGGCATTTTAGATCCATTTTCATGAGTAGCCAAAGCCTGACACTGTTGGATTCACATAGCTTCTGTCCAACTAGTTATCTCACCAATAAGAGAGAAGCCAATCTTAATATTGAAAAATAACAAAATATTTTAGCATTCGAAATGCTTTAGTAGTTTAGCTTTTAAAGGTTTAATTCTGAGCCACGTTATCCCATTTGGTATACAATGTCACTGGGCTTTACATGCACATGCCAAATAGCAGAAGCCAAACCAGAAAGATGCAAGGCCCAGTCTCAGTTTCAGAGATGAAGAGCAGAAACGAAAGAAGAGACGCTTACATACCTGGGCTTTTGTTTCCTGACCAGATCCAGCCTGCTGGCAGTAGACTTCAAAAAAATCAGCCACTCCTTCTTCCACCCACAGCAGCGTCACAGAGGTCTGAGTCTTGTTGACAGCAAACAATGATTTTGGAGGAGCTGGTTCTGATTAAGAGAAAAAAAAATCTCCTTTTATTAAGCTTATCTTTAAGTTTCCAGACAACTGAGAAAAATGAAAAAAAATGAGAGCAGTGCCGGATGCCCTTCTATCCTTCATTTCCTTCAGATAAAATCTGCCAGTGTAAAACCTCTCATGATGATAGACTACCACTGTAAAATGGGAAGATGATGAAGTGTGTTGGTTTTTCTTCTCTATTTAAACTGTTCTCCATTTGGACAGATGGATAATTACTTCACTTCCCTTTTCAGCAGAGCCCTTGTTTGAGGATGATCAGTGGATTCTATTAATAGAACAATGTTAGCAGAGACTCCTTCAGAGAAGATGACTGTCCACCTGTTAGCAACACATTTGGCCTGAGAAAGCTCTTCTTCTCAAGGCCTGCCCCAGGAGATGATAAAGAAGTAGCTTCCCACAAGCAAAGACTGTCTAGGTTCATTAAATTGTTGCAGAAGAAATATTTAGTCAATTATCAGTTTAAACAAACACTTGCAGTCTTTTTTTTTTTTTTTTCCCCAGGCTAACATTTAAGGGCCTTAGGCATCCTGGGCTCTTCTGGTTTGCCTCTAGAGGTTGTGAAGTTTGGGCTGTACACTTCTGAACTGTTCTCCACAGTTTTCAGATTTCCTCATCTATGGATGTTTAATTAAAGCTGTCATTCTCAATTATTGGACTGATTCCAGGATTTTGACACACTGCATAAAATGAGTGATGCACAAGAACATTTTGGTTTTATTCTTTTCCTTCACAAATAATTTGTTAGTCTCATTCTGGGAGATGCTGTCACAGGAACCTGGATGTGATGGGTAAGATCCACCACACAAAAGGGCACAAAGGACTTGTTCAAGTGTTAGAGACATTTTGGAGATGTATCTGATCCTGAAACAATCAGATCTGTGTTGGAGGCTGCCAAAATTACATTGGCATTATGGAGAGAGTTGGGCAGGGACTGAAGCACATTCATGTGTGTCACAGGGATTGCAGTGTACATATTATCCCAGCACTACAAAGGAAAGCATCCCTCTCCCATAATTACACCCATATATCTGCTCTTGGATTCAGAAACACATTCCATCCCTCACTCCAGGTAAAAAAAATGGCCTCAATCAAAATATGAGGTTTGCGTTTGGGCATCATCCCAAGCAAATCCTCCCTTTGCCTCCAGCAAATAGCTCGATTTTTCTGCAAGTGGAAAGTTGCCAGGATGAAGCAAACATCATGGAGGGAAGAGCATTTGGCAGGAAGGCTTAAATGACTGCCAAGTGCCAAGTCGTCTATCACTTAGACTCAGTTTCCACTACTGCTAATTACAATTCCCATTGCTCCTCTGAGAAACAGAGAGAAGGAAAACCTCTGGTAAAACACCCCTACTACTGTCTATTCAAACTTCAGACATCATAAAGGGAAAAAAACCCCAAAACTCAACCCAATGAAGAACCCACAGGCAGAAGTCTAGAAGGGATTTATCAAAACATAATTCATTCCACCTTTTTGTTGTTGGAAATGAGAGGCGAAATACCCGCCTCAGTTCAATAAGTGCCTGTCCTTAAGGAAAGAACAGGAGGATACAACTGTGCTGCAGGGTGTAGACACATGAATATGTCTGAAAGATAAAGCTAGGTGGTATTTTGAAACACCTCCCAAGAATCTTTGGACAATTGTAGCACCCTCACACACCCACCCACTCAGCCACAGGGACAAACACACACGTAACTGCACACAGAAAAAAGGCATGGGGGAAACAGTGGACAGGGCTTGCAAAGGGAAGAAAAGATTCATAGAATTTGTCTACATCTTTCAAATATTGCCTTCGGTCAAAAGACCTGGAAGAACTTCAGATTGTTGTCTCTGCACTGCTTAGCCCAGCACCGTTTAAGCAATTTGACTAAGAGTTTTGAAAAACATAAAAGGACAATGGTTGCTTCAATACCTCTAATCCAATTAGAAATTATAGAGTACTTTAAACTCACTTCTTTCACTGTGACTCACAAAAGGTTTATTATTCATGTAGGGAAGATAATCCAGTTTGAAATCACAAACTTTTCTTTACCCACCTTCACAGTGGAGTTAATGCCTGCTAGAGCAGTCTGGCACACTGGGAAATTTCACAATTTTAGGTACCTAAGACTCAACAATTCTAAGTACATTCAAAAGACAAATAAAATTTCTTAAGGTACAATGGTGCAGTGTCTAGTCTTCCTCCCAGGTAAAGGAAGATGTTAGGCAGAAAGTCATATTTTAAAGTCTTTCCTTAAGGATCAAGTTCTCAAGTCGTCTTTTGTTTCTTTGAGTACATTACACATATTTCACTTATAACAAAGGTGGATTCCACAACCACAAATCTGACTGTTTTTCTCAAGAGCACTGTCATTGATGTTATTTAAGGGTATATTTTTGTTGTTTGAAGACTATGCAGATGTCCAGGGAGACAGGAGGGGAGACAGGAAAGCAGACCAGGTGGCATCTGCCAGGAGTGCAGACCCAGAAATAGGCTTCTCAGAAACAAGGAAGGTTCTGCTTTTTATTGAAAAATCACTCTGTGAAGCCTGAGTTGCCATTCTCAAAACCTGCATATGTTCAAGACCTTAGGGAAGCAACTATGAAGTTGTGTTGTTGTCTCAGAGAGGCACTAAGTGATTTCCACTCTTCTACTTCCATTTACAGTCAAATTCTGACACTTACTCATCTTGAGCAAAACTATTTTAGAAGAGTAGCTTAACATGCAGGAACGAAACAATATTCACAGCAAGGTGAGGTGAAAATTGCAGCTTTGCAAAAGAAATGGGGTCACAGGTACATAATTCTGAAACAAGGAATGTGCTGCATCTGCTGACAGAGTTACTTTTACAGTCAAACGAGAGAAGGAGTGAGTTTATAATTTACAAACAAACTTTTCTTACCCAGTTTCACAAGCTGGGGCAGGGAAGTATTGCTGCCTCTTTCAGTACAAGCAATCACTGAAAGGTTGTAAATGTCCCCCGGAGGCAAGCTCAGCACTGCAGTCATCACATTGCGTGTTACCTGAACAATTAGACACACACCAACTTAAATATGATGCAAACCATACACCTTCCTTGTAAAATTAATCTGGTTACTTAATATATTACAAAGGAAGTTCTGTGCATCACAGCAGATGTCTCCTGCATAGTCCAGGCTTACTACATGAACCAGTTCCCACTGACAAAAACTATGAAAGCATTAATGTTTGGCAGAATAGCACAATGCGAAAACAAGACAATCTCAGGCTGCACTTTCCATATGAAAATTTATGGAGAAAGAAAATCTCCCTCACACACTGAGAAGACTCTTGCATCTAGACTTTTCAAGTTGTGCAAAATGCTAAAATGCTAAACAAGCCATGGACTTGGGTCCCTTGCAATTCTAGAGGAATTTAAATCAGGTCAGATACCTCTAAGAAGAGCACACAAGCGACATGTAGGCAAAGCCTTTATATATCCCACAAACCTGAAAATTAAATCCACCTTGGCAAGTCTAACACCTGCCAGGAGACCTGTTGACTTGACAATAGATCTCAGGGTCTGAGTTCATTCATCTGCAAGTTTGAAATCAGATATGACTCAAAACTGAGCTGAGCTTCAGAAGATTGTGAATAACTTCTCCCTGTTATTATAGTGGTAGCCTCCTCATTTCTCCAGGGTCATGGAGAAGGACACAGAACTCAAAACAGACTGTTTTTGGAGCACTTGTACACTATCTACAAAGGGCATGCTCAGGAATCTCATGCTGGTTTTCATAGTCGATTTTCAAGATTAAGTTTTCAGTTGCAAGAGAAATTGACAGTTCTGAATAAAGACTAACAGGGCTCTGCACAAAACTTTCATCACTTCTCTAAAATCTGACCGACTCCTATGGAGACTTGGGAAATACACAAGGAGCAGGAAGAAAAAGTCAGCATTGTCTGACAGTGTTTCCTATTTATTTCAATAATCCCATAAGAAAAACAACCATAATAACAATCTTAATAATTTCAGTAAATCACATTATGAGATTGCAATATAGTGACTAAGAGTTTAGGAGAACAGGTACACTCTTATGCCTGCAAGTGTGTACCCATAATTACCCATATGAGCAGGACCATAAAAGTTAGTTGTAAATAGGTCGTTGTAGGATTTTCCTAAAGAATGCTCTCTGTGTTCCCTTATCTTGAAAAGATATAAAGACAAACATTTCTAAAGACATCTCTAAAGCTTTTATTTTATTTGTGGATATACTGTATTGTAGATACCCTCTATTTTTAATCTTTTGTTTAGGGTAAAATTACATATTTGATTTTGTTTTTAATTTGATTTCATATTAAATGTTTATTTTATATTCATTTAATATACAATTTTCATATTCAATGGAGCCACTTTGGAACTCAATCTTGCCACTTCTGTTAAGGATAACAAAAAGTCTTTCTACAGATACATAGCAAAAGGAGGGGCAAGGAAAACCTCCATTCTTTGTTGGACATGGGTGGGAACATAGTTATCAAAGATGAGGAAAAGGCTGAGGGATTTAACACCTTCTTTACCTTAGTTTTCAACAGTAAGACAGGTTGTCCTGAGGACAGCTGGCTTCTGGAGCTGGTAGACAGAGATAAGAAGCTGAATAGCCCCCTGTAATCCAGGAGGAAACAGTTGGTGACCTGTTGAGCCACTTGGATCCTCATAAGTCTAAGGGACCAGAGAGGATCCACCCAAGGGTGGTGAGGGAGCTGGCAGAAGAGCTCACCAAGCCACTCTCCATCATCTACCAACAGTCCTGGCTCACTGGGGAGGTCCCAGATGATTGGAAGTCAGTGAATGTCACACTGATCCACAAAAAGGGCTGGAAGGTGGACCTGGGAAACTCCAGGCCTGTCAGCCTGACCTCAGTGCCTGGCAAGGTTATGGAGCAGATCATCCTCAGTGCAATCACACAGCACCTACAGGATGGACAAGGGATCAGACCCAGCCAGCACAGGTCTGGACCCCTCAGTTCAGGAAGGATATTGAGGTGCTGGAGCAGGTCCAGAGAAGAGCAACTAGGCTGGGGAAGGGACTGGAGCACAAGTCCTATGAGGAGAGGCTGAGGGAGCTGGGGTTGTTCAGCCTGGAGAAGAGGAGGCTCAGGGGAGACCTCATCACTCTCTACAACTCCCTGACAGGAGGTTGTAGCCAGGTGGGGGTTGGTCTCCTCTCCCAGGCAACCAGCAGTAAGACAAGAGGGCATGGTCTTAAGCTGTGCCAGAGGAGGTTTAGGTTGGATATTAGGAGGAAATGCTTTCCAGAGAGGGTAATCAAACATTGGAATGGGCTGCTCAGGGAAATGGTGGATTCTCCATGCCTGGAGGTTTTTAAGATGAGACTGGATGTGGCACTCAGTGCCATGGTCTGGTAACCACGGTGGTAGTGGATCAAGGGTTGGACTTGATGATCTCAGAGGTCCTTTCCAACCCAACTGATTCTATGATTCTGTGAATGGCAGAGAAATTAGATTTTTACTGGAAGAATAATAACCTTACCAAGATCACGACTTTTAGAAGGAAGAGTGGGATATTTTTGCAAAAACTTTTAAAAATTCAGTTATTAGAATATTTTATTTTTAGGAAAGAAAATAAAATATAGAGTTTTCTTCTTTGTTTGGAACAAAGATCCAAATATTGAAAGTTCCTGCTGTTCAGAAACATTATCAGTTCTAATCACATAATAAGATTCATGCTGGAACAAGCTCCAGATGGGTGCACTCTTGCAGCCATAAGGAATCCAATGAAAGCTATGCAGGTTACTGCATGTAAACCCAAACAAAAATTGTTGATGAATTTGCACTTCTGTTGAAAATACACTTTCAATTCAGCATCTGCTGAAACTTTCCCTTGAAAAAGACCGAACACTTTCTTCCTGCCAACTATTGAAAGGTCAATACTGGTGTAGAAGACAGTCACAGGCCACAGGCTGTATGAAGCTCCACTTCTGGCTGTACACATTCCTGCTCTGCAGTGCTCCACCACTATTGCAAACACTTCTCACTGTAAGTCCAGGGGCTGCTCTTTTACTTTAGCTTAAACCTGCATCTCACTACCTTGCAGTGCCATGACTTTAATCCATAATTGGTGCCGCCAGATTTCTTTTTCTAAGTGAATTTTCAAAATGTTCAAGAGAATGTACCAAGAAATCATCTAAATATCTAGCAAAGTTTTCTAAGAAGTGCACACATTCTGTGTGAAATCCTCATCCCATCGGTTAGTGAAACTTGTATTCAAACATAAAATGAAAACAACATAATTTATAGGGATTTTTTAATGAAGTCAGAAAATGGAAAGTGATAGCACCTGGCTTGAATCAACTAAAAAAGCTCAGCCAGTAATGTACTCTGGTTATTAATACCTAAAAATTGAAAAGACTGCATCTGTTCAATAAAAAAAAAATACTGTTTTACTGTCTGCAGCTCAGAAGTTTATAAGGTATTTTAAAATTATCTAAATTACTGGATTACCATAGAAACGTTTTGTTCACTGGCTATTTTGAGATCTGTGAAACTTTAAACTTGCTGCAACTTTGTAATACAAAATTATCAAGTCAGGAAAGCAAGCCAAGCAAGCAATATCACCTCCCTCCCCCCCAAAAAAAGAATAAAAAAAGCCCAGAGAAATGAGCAACACAGTCCCCACTCATACTTACACTCTTCTTGATTTTCTTCTTTCCTTCTGCAATGACCATCCAATGCAGCATCCTGGAATGAGAAAGGTCAGTACCATCTCCTCCATAGGTCCAGGTGACATACAAAAGGTGGTTGTAATATTCTGTGGAGGTAATCTCTGGTGCCACTGGTGCTGAAGAAAGAAGGTACATGTGTTATAAGACAGGGTCTAACACAGTTGATTACCAAATCTAGTAATAAACTCTGGATCTTTCTTCAAAGGATACTGTTGTGAAGAGAATATCACAAAGTTAGCAGAAAAGTGTTAGTAAAAGCTACTGCATCTGAGCTTTAGCTGAAAGATGTGAAAGCTGTCACTGAACCTGGGAGATAATCAGAACAAAATACACTTCTTTTTGCAATCTTTCAGTTTAAAAAAAAAATCATAAAGCTACTGGCTGATACAAATAATTTTTTGAGTCAGCATTTATAATTGGAATTCAAAATCAAGCTAAAAGCCTCACATATTGCTTCATCGTGTTGTTGCACTGAAAAGAAATACTGAATTGGTACATTAAATAATTGTAATAGCTTTTCCACAGGAAAAAATACTGTCTTATCACTGAGCTCACATCTTTCTAGGAGGAAAAGCCCAAAACCTGCAGTTTTACAAAGAACAACTTTTTGCATGAAAGTTATGACCACCTTTCTCCCAGGGTGAAAGTCCCACCCCACAGAGGGCAGCCACAGCTAAGTCACCTGAGCACCAAGTGTCCAACCTACAGGCACGTGGTAGCTACATTATTAGGTCTAAGGTGAAACAGCTCTTCTTCATCCTCTTCCTCCCCACACTCAGCTCCTGCCCAGTACTGTCCTCTGTGCTGCACAGCTCAGACTGCCCCACCACAGGCTGTTTGATGGCTTGTTTTGTGCTGGAGATGCCAGCAAGTCCTTGGCTCCCTGTGCAGCCCAAGAACCATAGAATCACTTAGAGTGGAAAAAACCTTTTAAGATTGAGTCCAGTCCTTAACCCAGCACTGCCATGTCCATCACTAAACCATGTCCCTAAGCAACACACCCACGTCTTGCAAATACCTACAGGGGTTGGGAGTCGACCACCTCCCCTAGTTGGGTTTCTCACCATCTGTGTCAGGAAGTTTTACACCCCACATACTTTGCTTTGCTGTATTTTCAGCAGACATCTGGTAAGTTGGAGTCCCTCTAAAGAACGAGGGCTGGCAACTGAGAAACTTCTCCCAGCAGCTTAAAGAATCCTTCTCATGGAGCTCTGTCACTGAGCAGAGGAGTTCCCTACTTGGGCACACCTCCCATGGGGTTGCTCACTTCTGCTGTTGGTGCTGGCCTAAAAGCAGGGCACTCCCTGCAGCTGGCACCTGGGGCACCACATATTCCCACTGGAGCTCTGCCTGGGCAGCTGCACTGGCCACGGTGGGTGAAGAGCTTAGGGAGTCTGTGGCTTTCTGGCAGGTGGGCACCATTGCTCCCTGGTTGAGTTGGCAGGGCTTCAGCACTCTCCCTGCGTGCTCTTCTGCACAAGCTGCCACGCCAGCTGCTGTGCCACATCCTGTTTTGCCTGCCCCGTTTGTGGCACTCCTGGTCACTGGCACTGCTCATATGTGGGACGGCAGAAGAAAGACAGCAAGCTCCAGAACAACTCATCTCCTCCTAAAATAGATATTTAAGATGAGAATTACCTCCTGGAGGTGTGTCCCCACTAACTGCAGAGGGAGCATAGTTGGTCAGCACACCTTGATTGCCTAATCAGAAGTTGCAGGTCCCCAGTGAGGAGTTAACACTGAGTGAGTGGAAACCCAAAAGTGAAAGTCAGTGATGAGTAAAGATCTCAACACGGTCTCAAAGTGATAGCAGTGGGATAACCTGGATAAAACAGGGAAACATATGAATCTCTATATGCTTGGCAGATTCTCAGGCAGCACATGCCCCGTGGAGTCCGGTGTGTTTGTGCAAGGGCAGGTCAGACGCAGCTGCCTCCCTACCACCAGGGTCCTGGACACCAGCACAGCTGCGGGTTCCAGCAGCCGAGAGGAGACGCAGGACGGCCTTGGAGCTCAGCTCTGTCTGAAGGGGCCACAAGATGTCACTGCTGCTTTCACGGAGGCTCCTATGACTTTGGCACTGAGATATTCGTTGGCGAGAAGATTTACTGAAGTAATCGCTGAGGAAGGCAGCAAATACAATGCACGGACAATTTAGAGCCATTTAGAAACGTTTAGTAAGATTATTCTCCCAAATTCATCATGAAGATGCCCTTTTATGCTGTTGAGAGGAAAAAGCCTAGTTTATTCAAAGCAATGTTTCTTTTAACTTCTAGAGTTCCCAGTCCATCCCTTCTCACAGATTGTGTATTCCTTACAATTTAAGGTCACAACTGGCATGAATATTACACACTAATAGTAATTTCCCCCTGTACCTTATTATTGATGACATGCTTTCCCTCTTAATGTTCACACAAATGTTTGTTTTAGGTGTCTTACAACGAATCTCCAGCACATGTCAAATGAGCCCAAGGGCCAGGGCTTGTGTGACACACTCCCCCAGCTCCACGTGCCACTGGGAGCTGAGTGGCACAGAGAGGCTGTAGGAAATTACATCCCACTGCTGACCTGGTCCAAAGTGACAGCTAAAAGCATCCACAGGCAGCAGATGTGATGGCAGTCCCCAACACCAAGAAGACTCTCTGTCTTTCTCACTCCTTTTGCTTCTCCAAAGATAAAAGCATTCTCATTGTAAAAACAAAATGCTGGTGGTTTAAAGAGTCCTTACTTTTGATTGCTTTAAATCCAGCTGTTTACAGCAGGTGGCATTAAACTCATTAGTCACCACAGCAACACTGGCAGCACCACAATCTCTCCCTGAGTTAAAATAACAGTGTTCAACTGCTGCTGCAGGAGCCTGAGAGAACAAATGCTGCTTCTGACAAGTCTCTTGGATCCCCCAAATCTCCTCGATGCTCTTGGGGACATCTGACTAGTTGTCATGGGAGAGAGCTATATATCATCTGGTGTCTTGTAATACCCTTTTCATTCAAGTACTGCAGTTCAGTAAAGCCCCAGCCTCACTAGAGACTCCATACAAGCAGTGGGATCCTGCTTTAGGGAAATGGTTTATCCTCTCTGAGCTTTCTGCAAGGTGCATTCCCAAACTCCCAGATGATCCTTCTACTTTGTTTTTAAAACTCAAGCTTATGTTCCAGGTGCAGAGGTTAGCTCTCCAGTTACACACAGAAGAACTGACAGATGGTGTACTGTCAAGACTATGAAACCTCCACTCCAGTATGTTAAAATTTAAGGGCTTTTTGGTGTGGTTTGTTATTTGTTTTAATTCCTGGCAACCTGTGCAGGGGAGCTAGTGCTTTTGGAATGATGCAGAAAGAGACCAAGTGCTCCATAAAACCATCTGTTCCCTCTCTGGAAAGAAAGAGGCTGAGGGTGATAAAGAACTCTGCAGGCCCTTGATAACTCGAAAGAGTGAAAAGAGTTCACCTAGGGGGAACAAACATTTGAAACATGCAGACTTGACAAACTGGTATGCCATGTTCTCACAAGTTAGCCCATCAGCAGTCCCTGGACAAAGTTGAAGAGATTGCAAGTAATAAGGCAATCAGAAGATAGGAGTGTGGTGACCATTTATTGATAAGCACTTGTAATGTAACTAAATCAGCTTTCTTTGTTAGGACTCTTCACTTAAAATCACAGTGTGATTTTATTAGCTCATTGCTACTTAACATTTCCATCAGTATTCTGAAAAAGCAGCGTTGATGAACCACTCAAGTAATGTGGCAACTGGTAGGAGTGGAGGATTTGGACAGTGCTGTGCTTCAAATTTTGCCCCCTATGCTGGGCCTGCTCAGACAAAATGTGTTTCAAAGTGCCAGGTGCAAAGTTGAGTCTTTTTGGAAAATGGCATGTAGACAACATTCCCCAAATGATAAATTCTGTTAGAAAGCCACATAGTAGAAGTAAATCAACACAGATCTCCAGTGTCACGCTACAGTAAATGCAATCATCTAGATACACAAATGGGAGAGCTTTGAATAGGGAGCTGATTTTGCCTCTAGGGGAATATTCAGCAGGCTGGTATTATACCTCCAGTTTTTATGTACTTTAGTAAAGATAGGAAAAATTAGAAAGGCAGAGTAGGGAAAAAAAGTAACATGAGAAAACACCTTACAGTGAAAGCACCCAAAGAGTTCAATGGAAGCAATTTATTAACAGAAAAAAAGTGAAGCTAAATTCTGTATAGAGAGCAGAAAGAAAAGCTTTGTGTCTCTTCAAACAATAAGATAAAAGTGCAATAAGAATTTTGAACTGTATATTAAAACTAGAACAATTCAGATCAGAAACACAGGGTGTAAACTTTTGATAGTGAGAGGAATTAACTATCAATACAACTTTCCAGCTGGATATTTTCACTAAGGACCGGGTGACCTTTTTTAAGACAGATTTTGTCATTCATAAATGTATGACATTAAGAGATTCATCCATTTCTGGTTTTGTCTATATCTGCTAGTTAAGAAGTTGATCCATTTTTCATTTAACAGCAGTAGCAGTCCTTACTGTCATCATATAGAGATTCAGACTGATACTGATGACAGCTTATATTTTAGAAGAACCTTAATCTCCCTCATTTCTCCTGCAGGTTTCCAGAGACACAATATTGAAGTGAGTGTCCCACTGGAACATTTCCACTCTAAAATGCTGAGCCTGGTACCCAAATCAGTTGGAAAAGACATTTCTTCCCTCATACAGCAACCAACCAGCTGGAAAATTGCTTCCTTACAGTGCTACAGAAAAGTTGATTGATGCCAAAGGACAATGAATATCCCTGGAGACCCTTTACGAGGCTGTGGTGGGTGTTATGAGTTTCTGATACACTGGAAAAGTGCCAGAATTTGTCTGCAGTGTAGCTTAGGATCAGACATCTCAGCATGGGAAGGTTTCTGTTGGCTTCAGTGGAGCTGTGACTTAACCCACTGATAAACTTTCTATTGTGGCTCTGTCAGGCACAGGCACTGTATTGAATATAATTGCAAATGGCTCTTATTCAGTTACTTCCTCAGGCACATTCTTTTAGTCTTTCACAAACAGAAAATCTGGGACTAGTATCTGCTTTGGAGTGAGTGGTTGGGACATTATAGCCTGATTTTTCTCACCTATACTTCTGCAAAGTGAACTAAACAGTGGTACATAAAAGCAAAATGATTCAATGGGAAACTTTGACTTTGGCCTAACCAGCCTGGATGCTAGAAACATGGCAAAGTGCTAACAGGAGCTGTTTTATGCCAATCCCTCAGTGGCTGATCTGTAGGACATATTGAAGATTCAAACCCAAAGAATCTAACAAGAGATGCCAGAGTGTGTTAAATACATGAGTAATCTCCACTGGAAGAGGGCAATCCATGTGGTTATATCAATTTACTGCAGCTGAGAATCCAGATTACTAATGACTTGCCAGCAAATATATGGAAGAGTGTTTCACAATATTAGGAAACCTAAGAATTCAGGTTTACCTATCTAACTATTAACTTCTGCATGTGTCAAGCATGTAGTGTGGTAAAAGATGAGCAGGACCACTGGCCCTCACTGGAGCCATGCATTCAGCTGATTGGAGGACTGGAACAGAGTAACCAAGCACTGTGCTTGGCATAGGAAAATTTTATATATATCCATTTAAAGCAGTCCTCAGAGCCCTCCTTAAAAATAAAATAATAAAGCAAAAAAAAAAACCCCAAACCCAAACCAAACCAAAAACCACTTGGTAGATAAATATCCTAACTTCCAGCTATCTGCAGGTGAAGCACAACACCCAAGCCAGACTCTCTCTGCGCTTCTGCTCCCAGGAGCACTCCCAGAGTTTTTTCCAGCTGGCTGCTTACCTGTTATGAAGCTGATGGTGGAACTGTCACAGCAGCTCAGCTCTGGGTCCCCCCAGGTCACCATGGTGACCCGGAAATTGTAATACCAAGCAGGCAGCAGGTTGGCTATTCTCTGTGAGGAGACAAAAGACAAAGAGCAGCTGAGGAGAAAATCCACCAGCATGAGGTGTGACTTAAGAAATACAATGATATTTATAAATCTGGTGCCCACACTCATTTTACTGAGCTTCCATACCTTACTTCAGTCAAAATCCCCGGAATTTGGCCTTTCAATTTCTTAAAAAAATCTGTGCAGGGAGAGCAAACACAGTTGTGATGGCTCTGCTGCTCATCCACCTCACGCACCTGCTCCAAGGTCCTACCTGCCATGGGAACCTCTCATTGATTTCCAGGGTGGGAAGAACAATACCCACGGAGCAATCATCCACCACGAAATTCTCATGTGATGAAGGCAAAATATTTAACTTTTTTATTTTGATTAAAAAGGTATTGAGAATAAATTAGAAACCATGTTTTTGACTCAAATATTGTCACTTTAAAAGACGCATTTTTTCCAATTTTCGAAGTGTTTTTCACTTTCCATTATCATTTATTATAAATGAAATATGAATGAAACATAAATTACTTAAGAGACATAAATTAGACATGCAAATATAAATGAGATATAAATGAAGTATAAAATGCAATATATGTTATATTATAATATCACATGTAATATTTAGGTTAAATTCAAGTACTTCCATTGACAGCACAAAACACTTCAAATATTTAATTTTTATGTTTAAACGAGAAGCCTCATGATATTTTTTAAAATTCAAAATAAAAGCAAATTGGAAATAATGGACATTTTCAACAAAGTGGAAATAATTGCTATTTTTACAGATCCCTGTTGTTTGCAGTGGCCTTTTTTTTTTTCTCCAGATACTACAAGACAATGCAAATATAGGGTTTGTGATCTATCTTTATGATTTTTGGGAAAAGCTGTATCCAAATTGACACCAAAATCTCGAAGTTGCTTGGACTTCTTCTGACATGCCCTGGTGTAATATTTAAAGTACCAACATCACTTCGACAACTTTAAAATAAGTCGCAGAGCACAAAATTAATGAAGCAACTAAACAGACTAAAAAGACAAATTCAGTTTCAAAGGCTCTCACCAACTCTTAGGACTTCAGGAAATAATATTTGATGATTCAAGTGGTTGGATTTTGATTCCCCTGCCTTCTCACTGTTGCTCCAGAATACACCACTCACAGACGTCAGTAGATCATCGGGAAAGTTTTGGGACGTGGTGGGATTCTGGAGCACCACTAGAGAACCCAAACAAAAATTCACCAGTCCCTACCTGTATGTTAAATGCCATAACAGAGGGACAGGGAGACATTCTTTTCCTAATTCAAGCTTACTCTTTAAAATTATTCTTTAAGAAATGCTCACTTTAGCTGCGGTAACACGCTGTCAAATTTCAGACTGAAATCCAGACAAAGGCTTCCTTGAGCAGCATTTGCAAGAGTAAGGGGCAACATCATCTCATTTCCTAATGAACCACATTAACTCTGGATGATAGCTTTGCTTCTTAGATGACCCAGATCACTCAGTTATTAATCTATTTGTGCTGAGTCATGATTACAAGATATTAATTACTCATTTGGTAAGTTATTTTTGTTTTTAATTTCCCTGGAGATTTATTGTCACGGACCCAATTACAGTTAAGGCGCTGCAGCCAAAATGACTCCACAAATGGTATTATGCAAATCAATTACAGTAAATCACTGTGGCTCTCACCAGCAGCAAAAGTTATTGCTACCCTTTTTGCATACTCATAACTTTCTGAACTACTAATTTCAGCTAAAATTGCTTTCTGTCTTGCACTACAACAAAGTCTGAATAAAATCTGTTCATCTTGTCTAGGAGATAATGGAAAAGAGGACGAAAATTTCACTTCATATCTGCAAAGATGCCTGTGAATATATATGTTTGGGTGTTTTTAGAGAGACCAGTGTACAACTGGTTAAAACCCTGGCATAAGTCTTTTTAGCTTCAGAAACATGAAGGCTATTTTCACAAAAACATCTCTGCATCTAAGCCTTCCAGATGGCACACTGCAAGACTAGCCCACAAGCCCCAAATCCATATTATCAATATTAATTATGCAGATAAGGCTTTGGACGACGCTCCCCAAGGAGATGATGGAACTTTTAAAGCCTTGACTGACAAACTGACCCACAAACCGAACCCGCCTCTGGACTTGCTGAACAACAAAAAAAAGAGGCTTATCTCCTGCCTCATCACTCTGCTGGAAACTGAGCACGCTTCAGCTGGCACTCCCTTACTTCAGAACAGAAAATGCCTCTAGCATATGGGCCATTTTCTCTGCTTTGCTTGGAAAAATTGTGCCAGGCTTAAAGGCAAATGTACGTAATTCATGGGGAAAAGGCTGGGCAAAGAAGTGTCACCGGGTGCCAGGACCACACAGGCAGGGAAGAGCAATAGTCAGGAATGGTCACTTTACCACAGAGGCAGTTAAGGAGACGGTTGCTGCTATTTCGTAGTAGGTTGTCCACTCGGAGGTCATTGTTGATGGGTTGAAGTAAAACATTTCTACAACGTATTTCCTGAACACCCCAAGGAAAGGTCTGTTCCAGCTCAAAACCACAGCAGTAGGTCCCAAAGGGTAAAGTGTCAGATCCTTTATTCCAGTGGGCACTATAAACCAGAAATTATCATTAGTAACGTGCATGTGTTATCAGTTGCACTTTATTTTAAAACAATACCTTTCCTTAATCAAGTTCTACCTATTTCTGGTTTGTTCCTTACCTTAATTCCCAAGAGCTTCCTTGACATAGTTGAAAATCATTTTTTAAACATTGTTCTCCAGTTTAAGACCACTTTTTCAGAAATGTCTACAGACCACTTGGTGTTGGCTGCTTAGCTTGAGATAAGGCACGGGGCTTGCTTTTTCATAAATGAGAGTTCCATTTTACTTTGAAAATCAGGATGCTTAGGAGATATTTCAAGATGCTCAAAAACAAAAGCATCAAAAGCCATGACACCATAAGAAAGAACATTTTTTATCTCTAGCACTCCTTCCCTGGGGAACCTAAAGGTTCTGTCATGTATTGCTATTCTTGCCTCACAGGTGGTGACACTGAGAAAGAGGAGTCAAGTGATTTGAAAAATGTCACATAAGGGTCAACTTCTGCAACCTATACTGGTCTGGAAAGCAATTACTCTTCATGACTTAACTGAGGCTACTTAAATAAGTACTTTGCTATAATTCACAAGGGTTGCAGAGCCTCAGCTATTGCACACTGGGTCAGAACCGAGACCAGCACCCAGATTACTTCAACCCATGCTAACACATGATTGCCTTTACCTTTATAAATCATTTACTATGCCTTTTCTTTGCTTTCTCTAAAGTGCTAATACTCACACAGTGAAAGTGAGCCTTAGGCTAAACATGGGGAGAATTGAGCACTTTTTAAAGTGGATTTTATTTTATTTGAATTTCATTCATCATTAACCACCGCTGATAATATCACAGAACAATTTTTTTTTGCAGTTCTATTATTTTAATATCAAATTAAATATCCTTTTATGAAATGAAAACTCATACGACTGTTGTGTTAGTGCATAAAAACATCCTCTTTATAATAATGAGATGTTCTGTTTAGAAACTGATTGCCATTTTGAGTTTAGTAAGAAACTTTTCTGGAAGTGAGTCCATAAAAAAGGGGAGAAAATTAAGGAATTTACTTTGGGACTACATGATTTTACTTTCTCAAATAAAAATAGAATTCTTTAACTACAGTGAGAAAGAAAATCAAAAGCATTTATAAAAATTGTCCAAAGAGAGGAACTTCAATAACTAAATATATGTTTACTTACTACCTTTTTACTTTACTGAAATATACCATACTTTTCAAATTTTTACTCAAACCCAACTTATGAAAATATACAAGGATATTGCCTAGAATGAAAAGGCCCTCATCATATTCACTAGTCCACATATTTGCTTTTATGTAAGGATTTAGCTGTTAAAAGGTTGACTTCTTTTTCACTTTCTTCTCTACATCACAGAGAGGATGCAGACTTAAAAATACACCTGCTCTTCCACTGGGCAGACTATTTGTCAAAAGGAGAAGCTGGGTGACTCAAGTTGAACATTTCTCTGCAAAAGTAACTCTGTACACTGAATCTCTTTCTCTTTGCATCAAAACCGAGCACCACTAGAGACAAACATATATTCAAGTGTCCAAGGGTGAAGGCAGTTCTTTCCACAGGGCACTCTCTGTATGATTCCTGTCCATAACTTCTCTCTATTTAATTTTGGTAATAACATTTAAATGTGAAATATCTTCCCTCCACTGAAGGAGTATTTTCACCACCTCAGTAATGGGCTAGGCAACACAAGAAAAATATTCTCATTAAGTGTTCATTAGACTTGAAATAACCAACATGACAATGTTTTACTCCCTCATGGGATCTAGGACTTCCTGAATATACTACACATATTTGAAAACAAACTCAAACAAACACTTCTCAAACAGTAGGTGCAGGGATTACCAATGGAAAATGTAACGGGGTCAGAAGGTGGTCCCACCAATGGTCCTTTCCGTAAGTAGACCACAACTTGGTACTGGGCACCAGGAACAAGATTTTCAATGAGGCTGCTGCTTGAATTCACCTAATAGGAGGGGAACACATCAGATATGAAGTATTTACTTGGTTAATTAGAAGAATATTGAGACTTTACTTGAATGACTCCAGTTACAGAGGGCATGAATCCGAACACACTGGCATCGACAGAAAAAATCTGTTCATTGAGTCCAAAATGGCAAAACTGTGAAAGTGGTCAGGACTGACTTGACAAATAATCTGACTCAGAGAATCACACGTGCCTGGCTGCATAAGGTCAGCTATCACACTGTAGACCCACTCTCTCCTGCTGTCAAAGTTTATTAAAATATTCAGGCTACATTATTAATTTTCAGGTGATATTATTCAGGCTGGAGCATTTAGACCATGTGTTTTCAATCAAAGCCTGAGGCTTTTCATCCATCATCCAATGCAGCTATGTGAGCTGAAGGCAGCATTATGGGAAAAGCTGTCTTCTGAATGCATGTAGTAAGTGACTCCACAGTGAAATCAGAGAGGAATTATTCTCTGTCATTCTCCCCTCCACGGCATTAAAAAATGTGACTAAGGGGCATTGTGGTTTTTTCTTTACAAGTCTGAACATCACCATTAAAATTTCTGCTGTGCCACACCAGGTTTCAGTCAGAGCTGGAGGCAGAATGCCTGACCAAGTGACTCCTGGTCTGATACAATACAAAAAAATCTTATCTCCTGAAGACTCCACTAACAGCAAATGCACAGAACAGCTTTGAGAAAAAGCCTTCACACATTCCTTCTCGAGCTGCAGGCTGGTATTTCCTCCTAATATTTTCTTCACAACCTTTCCAAAGTCTGTATCACAGCCACCTCTGCACTGGTGGTTTACTGCAAAGCACATGAATGTATCAGTGCCAGCACAGATTTAGTGAGGAACAGAATTTGACTTTACCAGCTGCTTTGGAAAGCTAAATCACTTTTAAATCATGCACCATGTTAGAATGGATAGAACTTTGCACTGCATTTTGCCCCTTTTCAGCTCATCAAGAAGAATTCAAACCAGCAGCTATAATAAGCAGGTATATATGTATAAAAACTGGCAGAATTTGATAAAAAAAAATTTGTAATGGCAGAAAGAAACAAGTAACTGCAGTTAGACCTTTCTACCTACTGGCAATAAACACACGTTTACTTTTACAGATATCTTGTTTATTCACATATTAGGTACTTATTTTTGAGTTTGTAGATGAATCCTGTAGTAATTACTTAAATCATAAATGTATATACTTGTGACCTGTGGTTTTTAATCACCTACCATATTGTTTTGCTTCCCATTTAAATGACTGGACTTTTAATAAAGAACTTGAGATTACAAGCTGATTCTGAAAAACAATTCTCAAACTGTCATGAAAAGACACTTCCAAACCCTCTAAGTTCACTGCCATTCTTGAAATAAAACTCAAAATTTTTGATAGAGATTCATTTTAAAGGACATTTTTAAGGGACACAGACTCTCATATTAATTCCCTTGCGGTCCTAATCAGAGAGTTGAAGGAGACAAAGATTTATGGGGAGTGCTAGTGGTCTCCTTCCATTCTCATGGGTGAGCAGAGGGTGCAGCAGGGGCAGCACTGCAGTCCTTTGCAGACTCCATCATCACACATATTTAGGGAGCCAGACAGAAATCATGGCACTGCTCAGAAAATGGCCTTATCAACATCTTGGTAAGGTTACTGAGACGTGGGCTGAAACCTCTCTCTCACTGAAGCCACTCGCCACTGACCCATCAGAGACACGGAATCTGATGTGGGGTTGCCCTCACTAAGGGCTTCAAGTAACAGAAAACTGGCATGTTTTGGGGTTCAGGATTTTTGATGATTACAAACATGTCCCACACAGCAGCAATAAAGAACTGTGGTCCATCCAAATCACAGGTGGCCTGAATTGCTATTTACTTCCCAGTGCTGACATCTTTTCCTATGGATGACTTCTGATCATCTCTAAACTTCCAGAAAGTTTACAGTCAGGTTCTGTATTCATATATAGGATAGCTAAGAAATAATTTATGCTAATTTGATTATAATAATGCATGTGAGCCCTCCACTTAATACAAATGGATTACGGTACCTGCCCAAGTGCTATTATGGTATGGTACCATTTTGCCTACTGCCACAAAAATGTCTCAAAGGGTACACTATAACTCATAAGCTTGAAGAAAGAATTGGTCACAGTCAGTACAACAGAAACCCTGTTTTAACAATACTGTGGTGTATTGCACTCTTCTGTTCCTAAATGCTGTGCTCTCCCCTACTCTGCAGCCCTGAGCCTGACAGAGCCCTGGGGCACGATGATTCCAAACAGCAGGACTGTGGGAAATTTTTTCCTGGATTTGAAAAGGCTCCAGCTTCTGCTCCTTACCTCAGTGCAGTAGTGTTTTTCAAGCCTTTGACTTTCCTTTTGCTTCTGACAGGTCAGGGAGAGCACAGACACAATGGTGTTGTTGCCGCCGCTCTCGTGTGATGCTGTCCAGGATGTCAGGGCAGTAGTGGAGCTCAGCACTGTCACGGTCACATGCTGGGGCTTTTCAGTGAGCTCCTCTATCCATTCACCTGTGGGACCTGGGACATGTCCCAAAAGCATATGTGAGCAAGCCACTCTATCCATTTGAGGCACATATGCTAAAACACCCTTCCTTCACGGAATTATTTATTGCTAGTGAGGGAGGCTGGACTCACAGTTGTCCACCTCCACAGCCCTTGGGCAGTCAAGGTGTGAGCCCCTGGGAAACAGTCTGTGGCTTGAGTTATTTTACCTGTAGCAGAGCAGATGACAAAAGAAATGTGACTGTCTGGAAATTCAGATTGCAGTATTCTCTGTTGCTTACCAGAAACCACCCAGCAATATCAGATTTGCTTCAAGGGAATGTTTAAAAGCAGTGATAGGTAATAATGTACAGATCATTGGCCAATGTTAAAGGATAAGCACACAAAATTTTTCGCCTCTCCACGTACTAACATACCCTCCAAGCATACTATTAAGCCTTGAAGCGTGAAAATCAAATTCACAGAGGTCACCACAGCGGAGAATCTCATTCTCCATCAGACTTTTTGAAGCACTTGCTAGACAACGCGGCTTTATAGATAAATTAACAGTTTGGAAAATAACTTCAGCTAGACTTGGTCAAAATTTCAGATTTCGTGAAAATAGTTAGTTTTCTTGTCACTTTTAAGTGATGCCTGTGACAGCTCTCTCCTTGACATTCCTCCCTCCATGCAATTCTAATGGCAATTTATGTTTATTGATAAAAATAAAACAAATGTCAGAGCAAGAACGTGGTGTGAGATCAGCCTATAAGATTTGGCAATCCATACTGCTATCTGGGTACAACAAAAATGTTGTGTAATACAAGCCAATACTTTGACAGGATGATTCACTGACTGAATGCTACAAGGATAAGATAAGACTGAAGCTACGGGCAAAATTTATTCACGGCAGCAGACCCACACCCATGCAGGTAAAAAAGAGGAATTTGATCATTAGATTAGTCTCTGGAGCCAGTGGATGTACAAGTAGTTCTTACCATTCAGAAACAGTTTCAGCACTGCCATTAAGGGAATTCAGATTGGAGACTGGAGATTGGAATTGGAGATACTACATGTCATGACCCAGAGTTGTAGTCCCCACACAAAGTGCCTACCTTCTCAAACTTACAAAGAGGAATAGAAAAGCAATTTCAATGTAAGACTACTTGTACACATCTCTGATTTGGCATTTTACCAGAAATACATTAAAAAAATCTATCTAAGATCCTTGCGTTCAACAGAATAAATAAGAAAATTGTCAAGAATCCTCATCTGGTTCTAAAAGCCTGCAAAACTAACAGACTAAAACCCAAACCCCAAATGTTCTCATGTGTTATATGTAAAATTGAAATATTTTAGATTCCTGTAACATCTTAATACTTATACCCAATGAGATTCAAGTTCATCCTTTATTTTGCCATCCACACCCCTACACTGTGGATTAGTATGTCCTCATTTCTCTCAGGTCTCTGTCCACAGGGAGTACACTTGATGGAGGACCCTGAAGTGCATATTGCTTGACCAAAATAAGTCACATCTTGTAAAATGGAATAACATTTGATAGTAATAGCAGTGCTACATATATGCACACTTTAATGCTTTTCATACAATGAAGCCTAAAGAAAGCCAGAAGACAGTGAAATTATAGCAGCAGAGACACTTTCTCTTGTGTGCTGTTTTCTCTTTTTTCTTTGTTTTTCAGTTACTGTTTCTTTCAGCTATAAAGTTGTTAAAAAAATACTAGCGATAGTGGAATTGTTTGGTGCAGTCAAGCATTATTATAAATTAAGTCTAAATAGTATTTGTAAATGTTATGAGCTACTAAAGACACAATCTTTATTCGTAATGTACTTATGTGCTTGAGTGCACTTCCTTTTAATATGAATTTTTCTGTCAGTTTTAGCTACTGTGTCTTGTTGCAGCATTCATGATTTGGGGAGGCACTGTCTTCCCACAAGTAAAACTGTGTACTCCTTCAAGTATTCCCCTTTCTCATTGTATGGGCATTCTATAGTGTATATCTATTTCTTTTTGTAGAAAAAGGTACAAAGGTGACCACAGCCATCAGGAGGATAATGATCTGAATTCACCAACACCTGTCTCGCTTGCTGATCTAATTGTAAGTCAAGGTATTAGTTTACACAGTAGTTTATTATTACTTTGCCTTTTACTAAATCACCAGTTAAGAAACTCTGGGATTCTACAGGGAAATAATAAATGACTTTTACTCCTTTAAATTTAGCAGGCTGAACTGCTTCACCTACTGTGATTTGCTCCATGTTCTCTCAGAGACCATGCAATTTCAGAGTTCAGTGTTTAATTGTGCAATTCCCACACTCTCAGCCTGAGCTGCCCTTCATCCCTAACCCAGTACATGCAGCATACTCCAAAAGTAGGGAAGTTAAATATTTCCAAGACTCTCTATAACCACCAATTATTTCTTGGAATTAAATCCTCATTTTGAAAGATGAGAAAGGGTTATTTTTTTTCAGTGAGCCACTTCTGAACCCCAGGCAGTGACTCCATCACATCCCCTGCTTTCAGTTCTTAGGTCTGCCAAGATGACAGGATGAAGGCCCATCTGGACAGGATAAAATATATAACATATTTCCATTATATTTCCTTCACTGGCATGGGGAATTACAGAAGACCAAACTCTTCTGATCCTTCACCAGATGCCAAAGGTGCCACAGTGGTCAAACTCTACATTACAGTTATGCTGTTCTGGGAGAAAAAGATGGGATTGTTGAGATACTTACTGATGTAAAAGCTAAGTGTTTTTGCTGATTGACTTCCACGAACTTCACAAGAGCCAGAGGAGCTAAATGTTGTTACAGACAACTTGTATTTTCCTGGTTCTTTCAGTTCAGCAACAAATTTGTGAGTGTCCTCACTTACTGTCAAAAATTCCATTGAGTTCTCTAAAGCAGGAGGGGAAAAAAAGTGTGGATTAATTGAAATTTGAAAGGCTCCAGAGACTAAGAAGATTATTTACATAATGTTAATGTTTTTTCTGCCATGAGATTAAAAGGTATCCAAAAGAACTGGATTTACATTGATAGTTACATTTTTTGACATCAGTACAAGAGTAATTAATGACAAATTTTGCAGTATAGGAGCAGAGTAACAATTAACCCAGGCCAAATTTTCATTCTGTGGAAGGCATGATAAAATAGGGTTGTCATGGCTGAGCTAGTGATAAAAATCACACCATGAGAAAAAAGGAGCTTCCATTTTTCCACCTATCGCATTCTTATTCTGAAACAAAAAAGAATTTTCCCTCAGAATGGAAAGGCTTGTGAAAACTGCCAGAAAATAAAATTCATTTATATAAAATAGATTTTAAAACAGAAAATCTTCGAGCAACATGGCAATTTTTTTGTATCCCCATCTCGTAAAAAATCTCCCCATTTGTTACCAGTCTCTTTGTGGCCAGAAGAATGTGTTTGGCAGCTGTAAACTGTGACAACTGCTGATCTGAATTGAGACTACCTTTTCTGCATGTCCCCTCCAGTCCAGCTCTCCCTGAGAACCTTTCTCAGTGACAGTCTATGGTATAATGCACCTTCTTTGTCTCAAATTTCTATCAGTTCATCTCTCCTTCTTTTTATAACCAGAATGGGTTTACAAAATCTACAGTGTAAACAGTGAGATGGTATGTACGACAGTATAAATGTTGTTTAACAAAAGAGAACTGCAAACTGTGATTTACCTCTCCTGCCTTACTTTTATGACGTCCAGCCAGAACTAGATGCTATTCAATGCAAGAAACTTCTCAAGAAATACAGGGGATCTAACAAAGCCCTCTGAAGTACAGTACTAGATAATTACTAGAGAATTACTAGTTTGTAGAGACAATCCATCAATGGAATTGGAGACAAGAGGTATGAGAAGGGTTTAAGGCTCTGCTTTACCTTCCCTTTCAATATTAATATGGAAACCATCAAATGCAGTAGGCGGCTTGGGGGGTAACCAGGTCAGCACCATTTGCACAGGAAGGAAGGGAGGGGGCTCTGGCGTGGGTCTTCCAGACTTGTTGGCATCACTGGCCTCGTAATCACTGGAAACTGCATTGACAAACTCCTCTTCACCCTCTGATGACTCAGCTTCGTTAGACCACCAGAACGGCTGCGACGTGGTTTCGTACTCAGTGCTGTTCGACCGCTGCTCCCACCAGGCTGCAGACGTGTTTGCTGCTGGAATTTCAGGTGGGTTGCCAGAAAAATGGCTAAGCTTTTCTTTCCTTACGACCTCTTGTGGTGCCACAAATGATTCTTCTGCAAAATTTCCGCTGTGCTCTTCCCAGTTGTTTCTGTTGATTGGCACAATCTGAACGGAAATGTTTCGAGGTGGGTAAGGAACTGAAAGAGAAGCAAGGGTTAGCCTTTTAATATGTGTCTGGTGAGCACCTTCAACATGTGTTAATTCCCCAGACAAATAATATTTGCAAAAAAACAGTGCAGCTAGGGATACTTTGAAACAACTTGCTCTTCTTATTTTTCTCCCTTCTCTTACAAATACATATAGAAGGTGTGATTATAGTGGGATCAAGCTGAGTATAACTTCACAGAAGAATCATGATTCAAGAATATCAGGAAGAAAAGTAGATGTGAAGTCACAGTAAATCAGACTTCAGTGCTATTACAGCAACAAGGCTATCTGAGTGTGATTTTTTAACAGTGGACCTTCATTTACTTTATTGTGTCTTCCAGGAAGATCTTGATCAAGGTAAAAAATACCTCTGTAGAAATGAATCGAAAAATATATGCAAAACTAATATATGACATGGCTCATATTTTAAAAAAATGACCTTCACGTTGCCGTAGGTCTTTTCATATGCTTTTAGCAGCCACCTTTTCACAAGCATTAAACATCAGTTTAAATTTTAATATTCGTGAAAGCTTGATCTTAAGATGTCTGGTCTCCAGAAGACAAGATTCTGGCACGCAAAGAAGTGCCAGGAGGGGATCACACAGCATTTTGTCTGCCTCACTGTAGTTGCTTGTCTGCCTCTCCTTACACACGACAAGCATGAGTAGCCTCTGCAAATAATTTTGACTGGCCCCTTTCATGCTGGCACTTTACAACACACTAATTTGTTCACCTCCCCTGTCCCAGCCGCAGCCACTAACACAAAACCAGATCCTATATTCTCATTGCAGTTTATGTGAAAAATGATGTATGGGAGGGCATCAGGAAAGAAAAACGGGATCCTGATGGTTGCATTCTTATGGTCCAATATCTGGATAACTATATTTAGGATCTTCAGGACAGAACTCAGCTGGCATCAGTTGGCTTTGTTCTGTTCAAGGTAATGGACCAACACCAGTGTATTCATCAGTGGATTTGGCCTTTTGATTTTAACACTGGTTCATTTCACTTTGGACCCTGAAAACTGTCTGTGGTCCAATAGATTACCAGAAGAGTTTTGGGCATTGTCCCAGGACCAAATTAAATTAGTTCTGGACCCCGAACAAATGCAATTTTCAGCCTTCGCAATATTGGTATCTTGGAAATTAAAAGTTCATGCTTCAGGGCACAAACTGGCCACCAAGTGGGGCAACTATAATATTCTTCTCTGTGATAGAAAACTGCACGATGAGGAAGGCCTTCTCTAACAGTTTAGCTATGATTCACTGCACAAGGAGACAGGCCAATAGAGATAGATCAATAGTATGCTCAGTGCAGCTATTCCCTTGACTTAAAAATTAATTCCTGGCACAAGGCCTAGGATATCTCATGTGAAGCAGAATTTATTTTCTAAAAAGCAAGTTTTATAACAGAAACACTCACACAAATTTCCCTTTGCACTGTTTGTACACATAACCCTACAGAACAGCCACAACATTCTCCTCCCAGGCTCCTGGCCTGGAGCAGCTCCCAGGACTGCTCCTGCACAGACCCTCCTCTCTGTGGGGTCAATCCCCTACCCACAACAGAAAGAAAAGCTGCTATAAAGAGTTGAAAGAAATGGTATGGAATAATTTTGTTCACCTGTTCTGTGCTGTTTGGGTTCGTGCTGGACCCCACTGTATTCCACCAGTGTGCTCTTGTTGAAGGTTGCTTCTGATACCAACTGGAACGTGATGTTACTGTAGCATATACCTGGCAGCCAGTGATTGAAAACTGTTTTACCTTTAAAGAAATCTGCAAAAGGTTTAAAGAGAAAAGAAGAAAGGAAAATAGAGGATAATGCATCAAATGTTCACTTTCTGATAATGCAACTGCACATGCTGACCTGGCAGTGTTTCAGATGTTTAAACATTGTTCAGACTGCTCTGAGACACGAAATTGTAACAATTCAGTTTGCCAAAAATTTTCCTGGCTGTCAAATTTTCCTTTGCTACCAAAAAAAAAAAAAAAAAGACAAAAAAGCCCAGCACAAGAAACATGAACTACTTTTCACAGGCAGGGGAACTGAATCTGGCAACCTGTTCCACATGACACTGAATATCTCAAAGAGCATCTGACAGTTCCTGCAGACCTTTAACTGCTGCACGCAAAAGCCTCTTTGGTCTTTTGCTGACTGAGACACAAGGCTCAGGGTAGATGTTTCAAAGGAGCATCCACATGCAACTGAGCACAGGCTGCAGGACTGAGGGCTCAGCTCACATCCACTGTCAGTGCACGTGTGGCCTGAAGAAAAGTTGCTTAGGGCTATTTGGCTATGGGAAGGAGTGTGCAAGCTGATTAGTGAATCTCTTAATTTAGGCTGACTTTTTTCTTTATCAGCAGCTTTAGCATTATAGCCCCTGGAACCATCTATTAGCTGTAGAAGACAAAAATTACTGCTGGTATCCCTTTTGTTCTCTGGAAAGAGGTCACCTATATTTTCTGCTGTGGTCCAGATTTGCCCTTCCTAACTTTCGACACTTCACAGCATTGAAAATGTGACTTCTAGACCCAATTTGTATCGAAGCAAAGAGACGCCAAAATTTTCTGACCTCTGTCTGGAGGTGCTTATCTCCCTCTGCTGATTTTAAGGAGAGTTTACAGCGACAAGTCTTCTGTTCTGGGAGCCTTAATTCAGTGCCTAAAATTCAATTCAGCACATACTGGATTCCTCAAAGGCATTTTACTGCCACTATGCAATGTTAAACCTTTGAGGTTTTAGGGCCCACAGAGTATGTGGGTCTTTCTTGCCCCTCAGGGTGCTTCCCACAGGACAGTCACATTTACATCTCTCAGACAGATGCTGTGATGAAGCTATACAGGCAAAAGGGAGTTCAGTTATAAAAAATAAAAAAGAAAGCAGAATTTGCTCTTGTTAGATCATTTAGGTAGTTAGATTGGTTGTTTAAATTGTTTAGGCTGACTGTCTAGACTGTTAAATTGATTGCCTTTGATTAGATTATTTTAAGAAGATTGAAATTTATATTACCCAGCATGGTTTATTAGCTTAGGGACAATACTGAATGCTACAGTAATATACAGCATAGTACTATTAGCACTGTGTCATTGTATGATGATACAGAACAACCAGTTTTAGATCCTGTGACAAGAATCAGGCATATTGAATGGGTTTCCCTGCTCTGTGGCATCCCAAAGCTTTCCTATCAGCTGTTTACCAGACAGGAAACCTTGGCCAGAGGGAAGAGACTGGGATCTTTTTTAATGCTTTCAACTGACACAAAAATCCAGGGATTTCAATGAACATATCTAGAAAGCAAAAATGTATCTGTCTCCTTCCTAATGACATTTGGGTTTCTTTCATTTTTCCTTTTCTTTTGAATTGCAGGGAAGATAAAAAGAAATGGTGGAAATTATTTTTTGGATTTTAGTGTACATGTTAATTTGGAAGCACTAGAAATTGGGGATGCCTCCACAGGTTGATTTCAGACTGATTAAAAAAATCCAGACCACCAAGTCTTCCTCTAAAATCCAAAAGAAAGGAAATATCACTAGAACTAGGACAAAAGCAAGTTTAAAAATCCCAAGTGAAAATACCAGCTCAAATCAAAGACCCATCCCTTACTTCATTATATAAAAACTACTATATAAAACATTACCAGAAATATAAATCATTATAAACAATACATGTCAACACCACATCCAAGACCACTGTTTAAAGTGTTTCCAGCAGAGTTAGCATTCAGTTTTAGTGGAATAGTTTTCTCCTACCTTTGTACAGCATTGTTCTGTAGTCTTTTCCTTCCCAATAGCTTATATTTACCCTGGTAAAAACATTGTACTTCTCTGGGTACTGAATTTCAAACAATACTCCTGTTTCTGGAGATGGTTTGTAATCATAGATAGAAACATTGCTCACAGGAAGGGGTTCTAAAGGATATACAAACAAAAGGAAAAGAAAGGAGGAAAGAAACAGATTAATAGGCAAACTGAGTTCATCACACATATACACCATTAATGAAATAAATGGTTTTGCTAGGTATGGCACAGCCCTCTTAAAGCTACCTCAGGGCTTCACAGAGGTCCGGGGAAAAGCTACTTGGGATGTTGTCAAAGCCAATATTTCTGTGTCCACCTTCCCCCCAAAGTAATTTATGTTCTTGACACGTAAGCTTTAAGAGAAAAATTGCTGTATTTCCCATAAAAAATAAGGTTGACATATAGCATTTATTATTTAGAGCACTCACAGTCATCACCTCAGAAAGATTTTCATCTTTAATACTTGCCAATCATGTAAAAGTGCTGAGAGAAAAACAACAAAACACTTGAAATTGCTTGTGACTTTGGCATAAATGTAAGCTTTTAAGATTAACTGAGAAACTTATCAGTGTAATGGCCAAAGGAAGCTGCATGAAGGAAGATTTTCTATTTTATCTACACATTCCTTTATTTCATGGGTAGTTATACAGTCTCCATTCTTACTGTGTGAGAGGGCCACCATCTTCAACATATTTATCCACATCAAACTTCTATAAAATATACCAGAACCATGACTATTATTTAATAGATGAAGAACTGAGGTGCAGAGAAGTAAAATGATTTACCGGAGGACACAGGGAAAGCCTGTGCACAGAAAGGAGGTAAGTGAGGCACTGACAATTTAGTGCTTTGAATTCTGAGCCAGGTAGGCTACAAAAAGCAAGTAAAACATCCCTGTGTCCTGTGATGTGGAATCTAGACCAGTGTAGTTCCACGAGCTAAGGACAACTATGTCAATTCGCTGCAGCTGGGAGTTTGGACTGTTGCTAAAAGTAAGAGAGTCACAGTTTTATTCATCCTTCTTTAGCCACCAAAAGAAAAAAAACCCAAACAAAACAAAACAAAACAAAGTAAAAAAAAAAAAAAAAACAACAACACCCCCCCAACCTTTTGTGCTTGATGGTCTCCTCAGCAAGAAAAAAATGACAGCAACCCAACTATATATTATTAAGAGGGACAAGGAGATATTCAAAACAAGGTTATACTGTTGGTTGAAATTTGTCATACTAACATATTTTAATAGAGATATTTAATGTAATTATGCCTACATCCTTACAAAGATTAGCATGTTGATTTAGTTCTTGCACACTGTAGCAAGTGTGCCTGCAAAACTCAGGCTGTTGATTAGCATGGTCTTGGAGGACCCATCTGAGTTCAAAGTTCTGCTGCTGTAGGTCCTGGAGAAAAACTACTAAAATATTTTTCCCCAAAGAGCATACAGTCATGATGGGCAAGAGAAAGAGCAGATGAAAGGGAAGATCAGTATCAGTATCAGAAGGGGAATTACTCCACAGAGGGTGGAATAGGTTAATCAAAGATAGAAAAGCAAGACTGTAATGTAAGAGAAAACTAAATCCCAATGACCAGCACAGTGTTTTCACTGCAGCATTAAGTTTCCAGTGTGATGAGAAGCAGAGAAGAAAAACAACTGGGAACGAAACCAGAGATGCAAACAGAATCTCTCACCAAGTCTTAAGAAGTAAGTCGTGTTGTCACATTTAACTTTGTCAGAGCATGGGACAGAGCAATGGTGTGGGACTTTTAAACTATTTCTCATGGCCAAGACACTTCATTAGCTTCATCCAGTATATATCAGTATATTTGTACATCAACCACTTACAAATAGAAAATCCCAATCTCACAGACACTAACAGGCACTTCAGTGATGGGATCTATGAAAATCCTGCTGACATTTCACGAGAGCCTAGAAATAAATAGGAGTAAAGCAGATCACAGTAAACAAAGCCTCTTCTTTCTGCCAAGACTCTTCCCATCGCTTATTCCAAAATAAATAGTGGATCTGACTATCCACACGACCAGAGGGTTCATATCACAGCTCACACAGCACATGACAGTAGTTTAAATGCCAGTAACCATCTCTAAACAGCACAACGCTTACACGCAGTCGTCTTTCATGTTAGTGGGTGTGCCCTGGGCTTTCTTCTGCTGTCTCACTCACATCTGAGGTCTTGTTTCCAAAAGAATTACTGAAACTCTCTTATGGCAGTGATTAAATTACCCCATTTATTCCTTCCTACAACAAATCAAATAAAGGATGGAAGCTATATTCATTTTTAATCCAAATGATTTTTCCTCCTGATGCTTTGATTTAATTAACCAATAATTGAATTAAGTGGTAATCACCACAGACTCTCTTTCGTGTTGTTATCTTCCACTCACTATCCTCTCCTTGCTCATGGCTGATGTTAGCAGAGTAGCATGAGTAATATAATGCAATTTAAAGATTCTTCCATTATCTTACTTCCTTTGGCACCAAATCTTCACATCAAAAGCTATTTGCACACTGTGAAATTAAAAGAACACTCAGCAGATAACCATCGTGTTCTGTTTTTCATTTACTAACTGCTCCTAGGGTTATCAAAATTAAAGAATATGTAAAATGTCACTCTTCACTATCTATATTTATAATTAAACAGTCTGGCCTTTTAAATATTACATTTTCCAGTATTTAGGATCCAGCTTGTTACAGATTTCAGTAGTTCCCAAGAAATAACCTAAATAAGGTGCAATTATAGAATCAGAGAAATACAATACTTAGGGCTTTATAAACACTCTGTACTACACTGAAGTCATATTACAGAAGGGACCTAGACCATTTCAGTGTCCCTCTAATGGCTTGTTTAAGGTACTTCTTCACGTACAATCTTTTTATTTTTAGACTTGCAGATTATAATTTTACACACACAGATAAGCTTGCAGGATCAAGACCTAAATTTGCCTTTTTTTTCTTAGTGTCTCAGAATCTGCTGCTCCTGTAGCAACTGCTTTCCCATTTCATCTGCTTATTGGAAATTCAGCTTCTCTGTTTCTCCAGGACCTTACAACATTTTGCATTTAGTATATAACTTGCATTACACAAGAATCAAGATAGCATAATAAATGCACCTAACATCTTCCTCAAATGCCTTGGAAAATTCTGGATGCTAAATCCTCCATTAATGCATTCAATTTGTGCCAGACACATCAATATTTGCAATTTGGGGAAGGAGAGGAGTGGCTGGGGGTTACATTAAAAATAAGCACTTTATTTCAATCCTAATGAATTTCTTTGTAATATTTGTAGATTGTGTCACTCTACAGATTGAATTAATGATTTATTATTGTTGTAGCTTAGATGCAAGCACTACATACAGGTGGCTGAAATGGGACTGAGATCAACTCTCTTGCTTCTCACACTCACACCCAGATTAATCACTATTTACCTCCATATTGTGACTTTTATAAAAAAGATGCCCCGTTAATGGAGTGACCTAACTCCCACAGGAGTCCCCCTTATTCACATGAAGAAGCTGTGATTTATATAATTTTCTCCCCAGGATGACACTATTTATGTATCTATATGACCAGTGGGAATAAGTCACAGCCAGGGTAAAGCTTCCATTACGCTGTAAACTTTAGGATTGTTTTACCTCTTGCTGAAAGAAACCTCCTTTGAGGTTAAAAAGCTGTTTTTTTAATACTTTGGGAACATAATGTTCAAGTTATGATAGGTAGAAGAGATAGCATCTGCTATTGCTTATGGAAGGGAACATAAGTGAAAATCTGAACAATGATGGTATATAGTGTAATTTCTACATGGTCACATAGGATGATAAATAAAAAGGTGATATAAAACTAAAAAATAATATTATCACAAGAGCAAAAGCATATCTATTTTTCTTGAACAGATTGAGGCCAGTCATTTAGATCATCCTTACAATGGAAATTACAGCAGGAAATCATATGGTTGCAGTTCTTTCTGTTTCTTTGATTGTGATAGAGAGGTTTTTTAACCTTAAAAAGAGGATAACATGATTTATTTGCTAGAGAATCCTGAGTATTAATGGACCTAGATGCTATTCTGAGTCACGTTTCAAAATCAGGGTTGCCACAGATAACCAGCCTTTTTAAAGATGTTTCATGTCATCCCTTGAAGAAGAAAAAGCAACCAACCTCTGAAGCTCCTCATTCAACAACTTTGATCCATTAACAAGCCAGAGGAAAGGATTCAACCTGCTGAATCACTTCCTGCAGCATCTGGCACAAGGACAACTGAGCATTAACTAAGTCTAATGCCAATTACTTGCTGAGAGCTGGAGATCAGAGTCGCAGGCAGCAGGCCTGTTGGTCTCTTGAGGAGAATATTTTTTGTAGAAGACACTGAGGCAGAACCCTCCCTAAAGGGAATATATTTTACAGTGATGTATGTAAGGAATCATCAGCTTTTGAAACAATGAGACATTTACCACTCAAACCTCCGAATCATCAGCTAAAATAAAAGGCAGGCAGAGCTGCTCTTAATTACCATCAGAGATCCTCTGATCTTGATTTCTCCAATTCCCAGTAGAGATACATTTTTCCTACAGCATACCATAGCTTTTCAATTGACTGCTTCCCCCATTCCTTCAAATCTACAAACTCTTTTGCCTTCACAACAAAAAGAAAAGTTGACTGTGAATTTGAAAAAAAAAATTGAGGCTATATGAGTGTGAGTCACCCTGGGAAGAATAAAACAGGGCTCCATAAAAAATAGAGGATGAGTGAGAATTTCAGTCACTTATTTCCCAGACATGTTCTTTATTTCTCTCATAAACTACTTTGAAATCAATCAGCAATAATGTGGAACTTTCCTTCAAATTTTGGAACACACTAAATGAATAAAAATTTTGGAGTTACTTCACTCTCCTTGAAAAGCCAAAGGTCCAAGAGAATAGGAAAGCAGGTTTGAAATAGTTGTGTTAGATACCAGAACTACTTCTAACATTGCCCAGACTGAAGACTGGAAAGAAAGTCACTTTGATAGGCACAATACAATTGCACTCATAGGAATCTGGGCAGGACGGTTGTGATTCACATGACTATTCTCGTGAAAATCATCACAGGAACCTTTA